CTGCTGGCAGAGATGCCCGCGGTGGGCAGGATGAGCACGCAGGAGCGGCTGAAGCACGCCCAGAAGCGCCGTGCCCAGCAGGTGAAGATGTGGGCCCAGGCTGAGAAGGAGGCCCAGGGCAGAAAGGGCCCCCGGGAGCGGCTGCGGACGGAGGCGGCGGCTGGCGGCGGGCTGCAGAAGCGGGTGCTCTTCCCTCCCAGCGTCACCCTTCTCGAGGCTGCTGCCCGGAACGACCTGGAAGAAGGTGAGTATGGCTGACCCTAGGGCGGGGGCCGGCCCAGCTGCCTCAGCTATGGCTGCAGGTGCAGGGCAGCCTGCAGACTCCCGCTGCAGGCACGAGGCTGCCAGGAGCCCCGAGAGGTGTCCCGGGTGTGGCTGCCGTGGGCTGGGCCCCGTCTTCCTGCTGGGGCCTGGGCTAGGGACCCAGGAGGAAAAGGCCGGGCTGGACGGTGCTCATTCGAGCCCTGTGGGGAGCAGGCTTTCCTCAGGGCCTTCCTGGCCTAAGCTTTGGGCGGGCTCCCCGTCCCTCCCCGGCCTCCTTCCAGGGCAGGGGCCTCTGCTGCAGAGGGGAAGTGGACAGGGTGCGGTGGGTGTGGCCCAGGGCCCAGGGCACTGTGGGAAAGCGTGTGCGTCCTTGTGCTGCCTCCAGGCACCCCTAGGGAGATCCAGGCCACAAAGATCCCAGAACCTGGCCCCAAGGTGGGGCTGCTGAAGAGGAGTGAGGGCTGGGCAGTTCTGCTCCTAGGGAGACCCTGGGGAGCAGGCCTGGGCACTCAGCCCACACTCCGGGGGGGGGGGGGGGGAGCCCGCAGTGGGGAGAGGGAGGTGCAGGTACCAGGGATGGGCGTTTTGGGGGCCAAGAGGGCTGGGGGAGACATGAGACATGGGGAGGGGGTGGAGGAGGGCACAACACCCTGGCTAGAGTGGGGTCATCAGGAGCCCAGTGCGACCTCGCTACCAGGAGGGGGTGCGGCTGGGAGTCTGAGGGGTGGAGTGCCAGGATTTGGGAAGAGTGGGTGCTGCCAGGTAACCTCCTGCCACCTGTACCGCCATCGTCCTCATCCTTCTCTGCTCCCAGCCACAGCACAGCAGTCAGCCAGGTAACCTCAGGGGCAGGGCCGCCCAGGACAGAGCCGTCCTGTGGCAGGATCTCCATTCCTGCCTGAGCCCCCCCCTTCTTGCAGTCCGCCAGTTCCTTCAGAGTGGGGTCAGCCCGGACCTGGCCAATGAGGACGGTCTGACGGCCCTGCACCAGGTGAGCGCTGCTGGGGCCGGAGGGCTAGCCGGCCGGGGCCGGGGCCGGTGTGGAGGGGCCGGCCCGGTGCTCAGGCCGCCTGGTTTGCAGAGCTGCATCGATGACTTCCGGGAAATGGTGCAGCAGCTGCTTGAGGCCGGGGCCACAGTCAACGCCCGCGACAGTGAGAGCTGGACCCCCCTGCACGCTGCGGCCACCTGCGGCCACCTGCACCTGGTGGAGCTGCTCACCGCCCGGTAGGGCCCGAGGGGGGCTCGGGCAGGATGGAGATCCTGCCACAGGCCTGCTCCGCCCTGGGCGGCCCTGCCCGAGGTCACCTGGCTGGCTGCTGTGCTGTGGCTGGGAGCAGAGTGGGCATCTGTGTCAGGGAGGGGCCACGGCTGGGCAGCGGGAAGTTGGTCCCGAGACACAGCCCGGCACCTTGCCTGGAGGAAGTACGCCCTCGCCTCTTGCTCCCATTGGCCTTTGCTTCCCGCCCGTGTCCTGGCGGGGAGAGCTGGGGCCACGCGCACTCCGGACAGGGTGTTGTCGGCCGCCTGGCTGCTTACTTGGGTGTCCTGCCAAGGACTGTCATGGATTCAAGAACTCCTTGAGGGCAAGCCTTGACCTCCAGCACTGGCCTCCTGGGCCCCCAGGCTCTGTACAGAGAATACCATTGTGGTCAGTGATGAGGGTAAAATGGGCAAAAAGAGAGAGGAACTGGACCAGGTGAGGCCTCAACCATGAGGAGTGATCATGCCGATGGTCAGCTTCACCGGATCCAGTGGTCCTCCCTCCCCCGCACACAGCTCCTCGACCCTGACCCCTCTAGTAGGATATGGATGGTTAGCTGCTCAGACTGTTTGTGGAGCAGCCCGTTCATTGATGGTATGTGCAAGAGAGGGGCAGTACTGAACCCCTCTCCTCTCCAGCAGGCCAGGGCAGCCTCTCCCAGCAGCATCTGGGGCCTGGGCCTCCTCACTATCGGCCCCACTGCCCCAGAGGCAGCCCTAGGCTGAGGCTTTGGCAGAAGAGGGACCTCTGAGTGAGGCCTGGGGCTTCCCTTGTAGGGAGAAGGTGAGGGGCCCTGTGGCCAGCACCCTGTCCATCTTCCCTGCAGGGGTGCCGACCTCTTGGCAGTCAACAGCGATGGAAACATGCCCTACGACCTCTGTGAGGATGAGCAGACGCTGGACTGCCTTGAGACGGCCATGGCCAACCGGGGTGAGTGTGATCCCACCTGCTGCCGGTGGGGCCCTTGGTGCTGGCTCTGAGCCTGTTGCCCCGCAGGCATCACCCAGGACAGCATCGAGGAGGCCCGGGCCTTGCCGGAGCTGCACATGCTGGAGGACATCCGGGGCCTCCTGCAGACGGGGGCCGACCTGGACGCCCCTGGGGACCACGGGGCCACGCTGGTGAGGCCGGCGGGGAACGCAGGGGGCGGTGGGGGCCTCAGGCGTGGCCAGGACTCAGGAGGGGTGTTTGCCTAGCTACACATCGCCGCCGCCAACGGGTTCAGCGAGGCAGCGGCCCTGCTGCTGGAGCACCGGGCCAGCCTGGGCGCCAAGGACCAGGACGGCTGGGAGCCGCTGCATGCCGCGGCATACTGGGGCCAGGTGAGCGGCCGGGGCGGCGGGCGGCGGGCGGCGGGCGCTGAGGGGCTCCCGCTCGAGCTCAGCAGCCTGGCCCGCCGGCCGCAGGTGCACCTGGTGGAGCTGCTGGTGGCACACGGCGCCGACCTCAATGGAAAGTCCCTGATGGAAGAGACGCCTCTTGGTGAGCTGGGGCCATGTCCTCGGGGTGCCGGGGAGCAGAGGGAGGGCGCCCTTGACGGCTGCCCGCTCCTCCGCAGACGTGTGCGGGGACGAGGAGGTGCGGGCCAAGCTGCTGGAGCTGAAGCACAAGCAGGACGCGCTCCTGCGGGGCCAAGGTCGCCAGCGCTCTCTGCTGCGTCGCCGGACCTCCAGCGCCGGCAGCCGGGGGTGAGCACTGCGCCCGCCCGCCCGCCCCGCCCTCTGGCCGTGCCCGGCCTTTGCCCCTCTGACGGCAATGGCAGGCCACGGTGCCAGCTGGAGCCTGGGCAGAGTCCACGGGGAGGGAAGCGTCCTCCCCAGCCTCACCCTGCTCTGCCCCAGGAAGGTGGTGCGGCGGGTGAGCCTGACCCAGCGCACCAGCCTGTACCGCAAGGAGCATGCCCAGGAGGCCATTGTGTGGCAACAGCCACCGCCCACCAGTCCGGAGCCGCCAGAGGAGGATGAGGACGGCCAGACAGACACGGAGCTCGGGCCACCGCCCCCCGAGGTGAGCCCCGCCCCTGGCTGCGGAGCAGCCTTGACCTGGGAGCCAGTGGATCAGTGACCCTGCGGCCCAGACCCGCTGGTGCCCCGCCCCCGTGCCCCTGCTTCGCCGCACGGCGGTGGGCCCAGGTCCAGGGGAGCCAGACAGGGTGCCCTGAACGGCCTCGGGGCCTGTGCTCCCCCTGCAGGAGGAGGACCCCGAAGCGTCCAGGCCACACAACGGCCGCGTCGGGGGCACCCCGGGACGGCACCTGTACTCCAAGCGGCTCGACCGGAGCGTCTCCTACCAGCTGAACCCCCTGGAGAGCGTGGCCCCCGACAGCCAAGGCCGCAGCCTGGGCCGCGCCAAGGCCCACCACACCCTGGCGGAGCTCAAGCGCCAGCGAGCGGCCGCTAAGCTGCAGCGCGGGCCCGAGGCCCCCGGGCCCGGTCTGCCCGCGGACACCGAGGCCCCCCGGCCCGCGTGTGGCTCCGGGGCCGGTGGGGACCCGCCCCTGCTCAAGCTCACAGCCCCCTCCGAGGAGGCCCCCGTGGAGAAGAGGCCCTGCTGTCGGCTCATGTGAGGGGCTGGCGCTCGGGGCGGAGGCTGCTGCCGGGCCCCGCGGAGCTCCTCGGGCCTTTTGCTGGGGAGCCGGACACGTGCCAGCCGCCGGGGACCCCAGCTCCTCAGGCAGAAGCCATACCTGGGGGCACCTGGCTACAGAGACCTTGTTTCATCCTGTGACTCTCAATAAAGAGCCCCCTGCCACCTGCCTTGTGTCTCTGCTGGGCCACCGTCCGCCTGGGAGCTGCTGTGCGTGCGCCGGCCTGAGTGCGCCGTCCCTGTGCGCCTGCGGGCCTGTGCGTGCACGCTAGGGCTCGCTGGTGGCGGCCCAGCCCATGTGGGAGTGAGGCCCACAGATGCCGGGCAGGAAGCCTGGCCCTCGCCTTGCCCTGCCTTCCCTGGCTCCTGGCGGCTCCTCTGTAACTCTTTGTTGTCCTAAAGGAGCTGCGGAAGGACCCCCCCTGGGGACAGGGATGCGTGCCAGGGGAGCAGAGATCCTGGTTTGGTGAGGGAGGGGCCAAGACATACTTGGCTAGTGTCAGAAACCTGGGGCAGGTCCCCCATTCTTGGCCTGCAGCCCGCTCCTGGGGCCTCGCTGCCAGATTTTCCCTGGGCTGGCAAAGGGGGCCAGCAGTTGGCCACTCAAGCTCTGAGCTGGCTGGGTGCCATGTGTCGGGGTGACAGGGGCCCCTTAGGGGCCTCGCGTGGGAGGGCCGAGGGACTGCCGGCTCCTGTCCATGGAGGGAGGTTCTGCATGGCCACCGTGCTGGGTGGCATGGGCTCAGGACGCCTTCCCCTCCTCGCTGGGCACCGGCCTGGTCAGCCCTCCCCTGAGCCTTGTGGTGGGAGGGTCGCACCTGGGGGAGGGGCAGGTGTGAGCTGCTGGTTAAATGTAATGGGGCTGGTGCTCTGCCCAAGTCCACCTGCCACCGAGCTGCCGGGTGGGAGGGGCTGGCTCCGCCTGGGGCTGGGCCCATATTAGCCTGCACTCTGGCCTGGGGGCCGGAGGGACAGACCTGCTCACAGGAAGGCTGAAGAGGCAGCGGAGTGGCAGTGGAGCAGAAGGTGTGAGGTGAGAGTGAGGCGGGTGCCTGCCCGGGCCCCTCTGTCCTCCAGGCAGCGAAGCCGAACCGCTGGGCTCCCCTCCGGCCTGACCAGCCGCCCACGGGACAGCACGGATGCAGGCTCCCTGACCCTCAGCTCAGTCCCTGGCTCGGCCTCAGATGCCATAGCTGGGGTGGCCACCCTGGGCAGGGCCTGTGGGGTGGGGCTCTGAGGGCCTATCACTGCTCACTCCCAGCTCTCCACCAATTAGCAGCCGCGGGAAGTAGAGCTGAGGTCACCCTGCCTGTGGGGTGGCCCCAAGGGCAGCCCGGCCGGCCTGGTGAAAGGGCGCCCGGGCCGGGCGGCGAGTGTCCATGGGCCTCCCCCAACACGGCCAGGGGCTCGCCGTGCTGATGGCACCCAAGGCCTGAGAACGGCCCTGCAGCCCCACCCTGCCATGACCACCCGCCTGGGAGGGGCCAGATGGAATCCCCAGGGCCTGCCCCCTCCCCCAACACCTCAGGATTCCTGAGGCTTGGCTCAGTTACCTGGGAGATAGGGCTGCTGACCCAGCAAAGATGGGGGACTCCATGGGGCTGGGCTTCCTCCTCGTCCAGCTGGGGTAAATCTCCACTCTCTCCGCTGGATTCAGCCCTGCCTAGCTCTGCCCACCCCTTTGGGGCACTCAGCCCAGCTCCCCTCCCCCAGACCCAGTCCCTCAGAGCGTCCTGCACCGTCTGTCCCTCCCCCCCATGTGGGTCTCCTGCTCCCGTCATGGGGACAGGGCAGGCTCTGGGCTGAGCCCCAAGCCCCGCCTGCCTCCTCACCCACTCCCTGTGGCTCCCCGGGGCAGAGCTGTGCCCAGATGGGTGGGGCGGGGCCCTGTGGCCCCAGAGGCCCTCGCTCCGCCTTCAGCCTTTCCTGTCCCTCCAGTGGGGCCAGCAGGCTGTTGAGAAGAGGGCCCTTCTTACCTGGAGCCCCTACCCTGCCTCCCCCTTGCCAGCCCTGGCCCGCTGAGCCGGGACTTGGTTCCCTCGTTCCTACGTCTGGATCCTGCCACCTCCTGAGCCTCCCTCCCACCCGGGTGTAGTAGGTTGATGGCAGTGAGGACGGTTGGCCACAACCAGGCCACGATGAACGGGCTGAGGGAAAAGGTGCTGACGCTGGACACCATGAACGCCTGTGTGAAGCGGGTGGAGTATGCCGTCCGAGGCCCCATCGTGCTGCGCGCCCTGGAGCTGGAGCAGGAGCTGAGCCAGGTATGGCCCCGGGCCCACCACAGCCCTCCGGGCAGCACCCAGCAGCCCCCGGGACAGGAGCTGGGAGGGAGGAGGCCCGTTCTCAGTGTGGCGCCTCCATCCTCCAGGGGGTGAAGAAGCCCTTCACGGAGGTCATCCGCGCTAACATCGGGGACGCACATGCCATGGGGCAGAAGCCCATCACCTTCCTGCGCCAGGTGAGGCTGGTGCTGCCCCGACAGCCTCCCCGGGGAGCCTGTCAGCCCTGTGCCCTGTGCCCTGAGCCCTGTGTCCTGTGTCCTGAGCCCTGAGCCCAGCCCTGTGTCCTGAGCCCTGAGCCCAGCCCTGTGTCCTGTGCCCTGTGCCCTGTGTCCTGTGCCCTGTGCCCTATGCCCTGTGTCCTGTGCCCTGTGTCCTGTGCCCTATGCCCTGTGCCCTATGCCCTGTGTCCTGTGCCCTGTGTCCTGTGCCCTGTGTCCTGTGTCCTGTGCCCTATGCCCTGTGCCCTGTGCCCTGTGTCCTGTGCCCTGTGCCCTATGCCCTGTGCCCTGTGCCCTGTGTCCTGTGTCCTGTGCCCTATGCCCTGTGCCCTGTGCCCTGTGCCCTTGCCTTGCCCTAGTGTCCTGTGCCCTGTGCCCTATGCCTGTGCCCTGTGCCCTGTGTCCTGTGTCCTGTGCCCTGCTGCCCTGTGCCCTGTGCCCTATGCCCTGTGCCCTGTGCCCTGTGTCCTGTGCCCTATGCCCTGTGCCCTGTGCCCTGTGTCCTGTGCCCTGAATCTGGCTTCAGCAATCGCTCCTCCCAGGTCCTGGCCCTCTGCGTCCACCCGGATCTCCAGAACAGCCCGGACTTCCCCGAAGATGCCAAGAGAAAGGCGAGGAGCATCCTACAGGCTTGCGGGGGCCACAGCCTAGGTGAGCCCACTCAGCCCCAGGGAGGAGGACTGGAGGAGGCTGTGCCAGGGCGGGACGGCGAAAGGGGCGGAGCGGCGGGGAAGGGGCGTGGCTGCGGGAGGGGCGGGGCGGACCCCCCTCTGGAAGTAGAGGATCTTCCCAGGAGCAGCCCGAACCTAACGGGCCTCCCTGCCCTCCCCTTTCCCTCCCCCCCCTCGGCCAGGGGCTTACAGCAACAGCTCCGGCATCCAGCCCATCCGTGAGCACGTGGCGCAGTACATCCAGCGGCGCGACGGCGGCATCCCCGCGGACCCCAATAACATCTTCCTGTCCACGGGGGCCAGCGACGCCATCGTGGTAGGCGGGGGGCCGGCAGGACGCCGCCGCGGTTCTGTGTCCCGGGTCAGGCTCCTCCCGGCACCCGGGCCCCGCCAACCGCCGCCTCCCGCCCCGCAGACGGTGCTGAAGCTGCTGGTGGCCGGCGAGGGCCGCTGCCGCACGGGCGTGCTCATCCCCATCCCGCAGTACCCGCTCTACTCGGCGGCGCTGGCCGAGCTGGACGCCGTGCAGGTGGACTATTACCTGGACGAGGACCGCGCCTGGGCGCTGGACGTGGCCGAGCTGCGGCGCGCGCTGTGCCAGGCGCGGGGCCACTGCCTGCCCCGCGTGCTCTGCATCATCAACCCCGGCAACCCCACCGGTGCGCCCGCCGCCGCTCCGCCGCCGCCCATCCCGCCCCCGCCCCCGCCATCCCTGCCTCACCCATCCCGCCCGCCTCCGGCCCCTTCGGTCCCGGCTGCCCGTCCTCACCCCACTGCCCGGCCGAGAGCCGGGTGCGCCTGGCTGACCCCGGACCTGCCGTGTCCCCGCGCCCAGGCCAGGTGCAGACCCGCGAGTGCATCGAGGCCGTGATCCGCTTCGCCTTCGAGGAGCGGCTCTTCCTGATGGCGGACGAGGTGCGGGCCGGGGCGCGGGGGGGCGGGGGCGGGGTGCTGGCTGCAGGGGGCAGGGTGCTGGCTGGGGACCGGGTCGGGGGGGCGGGCCAGCCCGGGCTCCCGCCCTGACGCCGGCGCCCGCCCGCCCGCAGGTGTACCAGGACAACGTGTACGCCGAGGGCTCGCAGTTCCACTCGTTCAAGAAAGTGCTCATGGAGATGGGGCCGCCCTACTCGACGCAGCAGGAGCTCGCCTCCTTCCACTCCATCTCCAAGGGCTACATGGGCGAGTGCGTGCGGGCCGGGCCCCGGGCGGGGCCTCTCGGACCCCGGCTGGCCCCCCGCGGCCCCGCCTGGACGCGCCTCGGCCTTGCAGGTGCGGGCTGCGCGGCGGCTACATGGAGGTGGTGAACATGGACCCCGCGGTGCAGCAGCAGATGCAGAAGCTGGTGAGCGTGCGGCTGTGCCCGCCGCTGCCCGGCCAAGTGGCGCTGGACGTCGTCGTCAGCCCGCCCGAGCCCTCGGACCCCTCCTTCGCGCAGTTCCAGGCGGTGAGCGAGGTGGCCGGGCGGGGGGCGGCCGGGTGCGGGCGCTGCACCCACACCTGACGGGCCGCCCTTCCCTCCGCAGGAGAAGCAGGAGGTTCTGGCCCAGCTGGCGGCCAAGGCCAAGCTGACCGAGCAGGTCTTCAACGAGGCTCCGGGCATCCGCTGCAACCCGGTGCAGGGCGCCATGTACTCCTTCCCGCGCATCCAGCTGCCCCCGCGCGCCGTCCGCCGCGCCAAGGTGCGGGCCCCGCGGGCAGCCGGTCCCCGGGGAGGGAGGGCGCGGCCTGGGACGCCCGCCTGACTGCCCTGCTCCCCCTCCCCCCGCAGGAGCTGGGTCAGGCCCCCGACATGTTCTTCTGCCTGCGGCTGCTGGAGGAGACGGGCATCTGCGTGGTGCCGGGCTGCGGCTTCGGGCAGCGCGAGGGCACCTACCACTTCCGGTGAGGCCGCCCGCCGCCCCCCCTCTCGGCCCCGCCGCCCCGGCTCCTCTCTTACCTTCCTCCCCTTTAGGATGACCATCCTGCCAGCCGCGGAGAAACTGCGCCCCCTTCTGGAGAAGCTGAGCCAGTTCCACGCCAAGTTCACCCGCGAGTACTCCTGAGTCCTCCGGGGCCGCCTGAGGGCTGGGCGCCGCCTCCGCCGCCTCCAATAAAGCTGGGGAGCTGGCGTCTGGCCGGTGTGCACGTCTGTGGGCGCCTCCCCGCTCCTGGGCCTGTGTGCGCGGGCCTGGCCTGCCGTCCTCCCAGATGAGCGGCCCTTCCTGCCATTGCAGCCCGGCCGGGTCTGGCTCTGCACGGGGGCTCAGAGACAGGCGTGGTGTCCTGGCTGCCACCGGGGCTCCCAGCCTGGGGTGTGTGTGAAGCGCGTGGTGGATGTGTGTGGCTTCGGAGGGCACATGCAGCCCTGGGGCTGGGGGCCTGGGAGGCAGGGAGGGGGCCCTCCCACCTAAGCTGGAGCATCCGAGGGGGAAGCGGGAGGGCAGGTGCGATGCTGGGGAGACGCCCGGGGTAGCTGGGCTGGAGGACCCAGGACGGAAAGGTGGGCAGCTCAGTGTCCTTGCCAGGGAGCACGCAGATGATGTCTGCTGTGTGCATGCCAGACACTGTGTGTGTCACTGAGGTAGGCATGGAGTCCCTATTTTATTTACTCATTTAAAAAATATTTTTAAAAATTAATTTTAGAGAGGGAAACATCCATGAGGACCATTGATTGGCTGCCTACTGCACGCCTCCTACTGGCAATAAAGCCTGCACCAGGCGTTGCCCTGACCGGGAATCTGGCCGCCTCTTGGGCATGGGACAACGTTCAACCAACTGAGCCACAAGGCCAGGGCCACAATCCCTATTTTAAAGAGGAAACTTGGGACCCCAAAATATGTAGAAATGACAGGAACCCCAATCGTGGTGACCCCAGCAGCTGAGGAAGCCCTTTGATTTGAGTCTGCAAGTGGGACTAGGCTCAGACACCGAGGCAGCTCTTACCCACGGGGGCGTGTGTGTGAGTGTGTATGAGTGTGTGTGTGTGTGTGTGTGTGTGTGTTTGAGTGTGTGTGCGTGTGTGCGCACGCGCGCAGCTCTGGCAGGAGGCCACAAAAGACCCCAGTTAGCTCCCGCTTGGATGGGCGTGTCCCGCAGGGCCAGCTGGAGTGGGCGGGGCATGGGAGCTGCTGAAACCGCAAGCGCAGCGGGACAGCGGAACTTGAACCAGCTCCTCCGTGGGGGTGCTGGAGAGGCTGCGGCCACTGGGGAGATGCCCGGAAACACTTCTGCAGAGTTTGGGTCTAGGCTCGGAGGTCGGCGGGCCGAGCCTGATAACCCCGAGGACCCGATGGGTCTCATTTCCGCTCTCTACTCCGGGCGCAGTACCCACGTGGGCCACCGGGAGCGCCGGCGCACGCGGCCGCTCTGGCCCGCCGGCACTCTATGGTCATCGGGGTCCCGGGCGCGGAGGACCGTCTGCGGCGGTGCGGCTGGGACGCCAGCCAGTCTAACCCTGATCCCGCGCGGCCCAGTCCAGAGGCCATGCAGCCGGGTGACCCTTGACCAGACCAGACCAGACACGGAGCCGTTTTGCCCGTCCCGCTCAAGGCCCGGCCTTGAACTCGGCCCCGGCCATGCGTGGGAAGCTGCTGCCGCTGGCCGGCCTCTACCTGGTGCAGGGCCTGCCCTACGGGTTGCAGACCGGCCTGCTGCCTGTGCTGCTGCGAGCGGGCGGCCTCTCCCTGACTCGCGTGGGACTGACCAAGGTGCTGTATGCGCCCTGGCTGTTCAAGCTGGTGTGGGCTCCGCTGGTGGGCACGCGGGGCTCTCCCAGGGCCTGGCTGACGCTCAGCACGGCTGCTCTGGGCCTGGTGTGCGGGCTGCTGGCAGCTCTGCATCCGGCTGAAGGCGGCCAGGCGGAGCTTCCTGTTGCCGTGGCTGGGCTGCTGCTATTGCTGAACCTGGGTGCAGCTGTGCAGGACGTTGCCCTCGACACACTGGCCATGCAGCTCCTGGAACCGGCGGAGCTGGGGCCTGGCAACACCGTGCAGGTGGTTGCCTACAAGCTGGGGTCGGTGCTGGCGGGCGGTGGACTGCTTGCCCTGGTGCCCAGCCTCTCCTGGCCCCAGCTGTTTCTGCTCCTCGCTGCCACCTACTGGCTGGCTGCTGCCCTGGCTTGGGCCACACCAGCCCTGCAACAATTGCCCCCTCCTCGGCCCTCAGAACTCCCCCCACACACCCTGCACCTTCTGCAGGACTTGCTAGCTGTGCCGGGGACCCTGTGGACCGCTGGCTTTGTCCTCACTTACAAGCTGGGTGAGTGAGGGCTTGAGTCAGCCAATCGCAGGGGTGGGGACCTCCAGGTGGATCCCCAGGAACCCTGGCACCACTTGCAGGGCCATCCTCTTCCTGGGGTACGCCTGGCAGTGGAGCTTTATGTTGTGCCACTGAGCTCCAGCCACACTCCCTGGGTCCTGCTGACCCTGAGCTTGCCAATGCCTTTCCACCATCGTGGCACCAGAGGCAGGTAGGGGCAGGCGGGGGAGCGTGACCAAGGCCCCAGGTGGACCCGGGAGGCGGTTGCACACCTAATGTTCTCCCCACAGGCGAGCAGGGTGCCAGCAGCCTGTTCCCACTCCTCTTGCTGGACCGAGGCCTCTCTGCCCCGGAGCTGGGGCTGTGGAACAGTGTGGGCGCCGTGGCCTGCTCCATTGCTGGCTCGTCCCTGGGTGGGGCCCTGCTGTCCGGACGCTGGTGAGCCTTCTTCAGCATGTCCCACTCACCTACTCACCCCTGGTCTCCCCAAACTCCTGACCTGCCCAGTCTCCTCACCCCAGGAAGCTGCCACCTCTGCTGAGGTCAGTACTTCAGTTCCGTCTCGGGGGCCTTGCCTACCAGACCACTCTGCTCTTCTGCCTGGACACCCCGCGGGCCAGGCTGGACCCTGGCACAGTCCTGAGAGGTGAGGGCCTGGGCATTGGGCATGGGGGGAGAACACTGCATCCTGGGCTCTGCTGACCTTGGTCTTCCCAGGGGCCGTCTTGCTGAGCCTGTGCCTGCAGCACTTCTTGGGGGGCCTGGTCACAACCGCCACCTTCACTCTGATGATGTGCTGCAGCCAGCTGGCAAACAGTGCCTTGCAGGTGAGGGGTCATGGCCGGGACACCGAGGGGATGCAGGGCTGAGGGCCAAGTCAGTCCTAACCTGAATCCCTCACCTCCCTCCTTCCCTCCCTCCCTCCCCACCAGGCCACACACTACAGCCTCCTGGCCACACTGGAGCTGCTGGGGAAGCTGCTCATGGGCACACTGGCTGGAGCCCTGGCCGACAGCCTGGGCCTGCACCTCTGTTTCTCCCTCTTCCTTGCTCTCTCAGCCATACCCATTCTGTACCTGAGCCTGGCACCCACAGCCCTGGCCTGAGCTGGGTGTTAAGACTAGTCAGTAAAGCCAAGTGTGACCGGCTTGCTTGTGTCTGTCTGGGATGTGTGGTGTCCAAGGCTGCCCCGACGTGTGCCCCACCGAAAAGGAGGGTGCGGCAACAACTGCAGCATCTTTTGTTTTGTATTTTGGGGCCTCCTTGTGCCCACATTCCGGGCAGCAGGCTTTGCCCAAGATGGTCAGTCACTGTCCCAGACAGTGACGGCCCCTCATCCTGGGTCCTGCACCCGCCACTCGGTGTGCCTGTTCACACCGTGTCTGACATGGCCTGCCTGTGGCCAGGGGTCAGCGGCCCAACAGGATCTCCTCAGTGGCCAGCTTGATCAGGGCGTGGAAGCTCAGGTGCAGATACTTCCTCCAGAAGCGTCGGTCCCGTCCATACACCTGGGCTGGAAAGCAGGGGCTTCCTGTGGTTGAATGGGGTACATGGTCCTGAGGACTGTCCACTGGGCCAGCCCCCAGCCCATCAGGCGGGGCTAAGCTGCCCAGGCCCTCACCGATGCCGTGGAAGATGCGGGCCACAGCCCTGCCCGAGAACTGCTGCTCTGGCCACGAGGACAGGAAGTGGCGGACGTCCCTGCGGACCTGGTCCTCCCAGTCCTGGAGCTGAGGTGGGGGCATCAGCGTAACCTGAGCTTCCAGACCACAAGCTCCACGCAGGGGCAGGGCGGGAGACGTGCACGCGACGCTGGGCTGCCCGGCCTTGCCCCGGGCCTGGGAGGGACCAGCACTCACCTCGGCCTGTCCCGGCTCTGGGCCCTGTGCTTCCTTCTCAGCCACTGGACCCCCTTCCTCCAGGTAGTGGGTGAGCAGGGCCTTGAGCCTGGAGCTGCGGTCATCGTCCGGCTGCTCCAAGCAGGGCCCGCAGCTGGGGAAGGCTACGCTGGGGTGGGATGAGCTCGTCAGAGCCACCCCTGGGGCAGGGGTTGAAGCCTCCCTCTGCCCACCCGCCCCTGCACCTGTGAAAGGCCTGGAACATAAGGCGCAGGTGGGCCAGGGCCTCCCGCTCTCTGGCCTGCACTCGGTCATGAAGGAAGCCACAGATCTGGTCCTTTTCCTGGGCGGTCAGGTCCCCAGGGCTGTGCAGGTAGAAGGCCAGCTCGCTGAACTCCACCAGCACCCCTGTGCCCCGAGCCACACCTGCCAAAGAGCGTGTCAGGTGGGCAGGTTGGTGGGCAGGTGGCTTGCAGGGCCAGGGGTGGGGGCGCACCTTTCCTGGGCTCCGGGTCCCACTGCAGTTGGCGGAGGGCCTTCCGCACGGGGGCCAGCTCCCAGCCCATGGAGTCGACCAGCTCCAGCATGTCAAACTCCACAGTGCCACTCCCCCCACCTGTGTTCTCAGGCAGCTGCCTGGCCAAGCATGCAGCCAGGGGGACACACCTATGCCAGGGGAAGGGGAGAGTGAGTGGTAGCCCAAGTCCTCAGTCCCTGTCACCATTCTGGGATAGGAGGTGTGCTCACCTGCGGGCCAGGGCCTGGAGCTGGGTGGGGCCCCCAGGGCATCGCACGCAGCAGCGAGTGTAGGTGGGTGCCAGCAGCTCCAGCCAGCGCCGTGGGTGCAGCTCCAAGTAGCACAGCAGAGTCTCAATGACTGGGGGAAGAGCAGGGCTTAGAAGACATGGCCTGTGAGATGCCCCTCCACACCTGCCCCAGGTCCTCACCCTCCTCAGGCAGGTCCAGAGCCTGCACTGTCGGCTGCACTGGGAGTGCCCGCTTGTGGCCTGGGCACCGGGCTGTTTGCTCACAGCTGGGCTGCTCGGAGGAGCCGCCCTCCTGCTCGGACAGCCGTTGGGCGCAGGCACAGGGCGGGAAGGCCCGCTGCACCAGCTTCTTCACAGCGAGGAAGTCGATGGCGTTGGCATGCACGTGTCTGCGCAGCTCCCGAAGGTCCTCGCCCTGCACAGGAAGGCTGTGAGCACGTGGCCACGGCCGGGGGGGGGGGGTGAGTTCGAGCTGGTGGGCACCAACCTGGGGCTGCAGGAAGAGGTGGCAGTGTGCGGGCTGCCCATCACGCCCAGCCCGGCCCACGGCCTGAATGTAGCTCTCAAAACTCGGGGGCAGCCCCAGGTGCAGAACAGCCCGCACATCTGGCCGGTCCAAGCCCATCCCAAAGGCCACTGTGGCCACCACCACCCGCAGCTGGCCCTCCATGAAGGCCCGCTGCACCCGCCGCCGCTCCCGGCTGCACATGCCCGCATGGTAGGCTTCAGCCACAGCCTCCGGGGCCCGGCCTGCAGGAAAGACAGACGGTTGGTGGGTTGTATGCATGGGAAGGTCTGAGGCCCAGCCCGGCCCAGCCTCACCTCCAGGCCCCGGAGCCCTGGTCCCAGGCAAACAGGTGCGCAGCAGGGCGGAGACACGCTCGGTGTCCTCGCGCCTGTTGCAGTAGACGATGATGGAGTCCAGGGTGCGGAAGCGGTCACCCTGCAGCAGAGTCACCAGGGCCTGGCGAGGGACAGTGGTCAGTGTGGGCGGCCGGGAGGCGAGGCCTCTCCCTGTTTGTGCACACCTACCTGGTCGGGGTCCCTGTCTATGGACACAGACAGGTGCAGGTTGGCAGGGACGGTGACCAGTCCCCTGAGGACAGCCTCCTTGGCTATGCCCAGATGCTCGGCCACATCGAGGGTGGTGCTGCGTGTGGCCGTGGCCGTGAGGCCCAGGAAGCAGCGCACACCCAGGCATTCCCGCAGCACCTGTGCGGAGTGGGGTGGTGAGGATGCCCACTGGCACCCCCACCCAACCTACTCACCTGCTTTCAGGACAAGGCTCACCTTGCAGACACGGAGATAGCAGGGTCTGAAGTTGTGGGACCACTGAGAGAGGCAGTGGGCTTCGTCTACACAGACAAAGGCCACTGGGGGCAGCTGAGTGAGGCAGGCAGGGCTCCCAGTCCCAGCTCCAACCAACGCCTCGGGCGACAACATCAGCACGTGGACCTGGCCTGCCCGAGCCTGTGAACAGCAAGGTCAGGACCACTGCCCTGGGCCCTGCCTGTGGCCCCCGAGGGTCTTGCTCTGGGAGGCCCCTCACCTTCTGCAGGGCTGAGTCCCGCTGCTTCCTTGTCATGCCCGAGTGTACGCAAGCCGCCTTCAGGCCTCGGGGCAGGCCAGACACCTGCAGACACCGCACCCAGTCTGTTGGAGGGCCACACAGAGCCCCCTTTCCCCCCCTGCCCAGGCCTCTCCTTCAAGTCGTTCAACTCAATAGCAACTGCTGTATCCACCCCAGGTCTTATGAGGAGGAAACACCCGACCCTGGAACCAAGAGTTGAGAGCTGCCGCCGGGCCTGGGCTCAGGCACTGGGAACAGACAGGCCTCATGGGGACGTCTCCTTTTAGGGGAGGATCTGGCCAGCCCTGTCCCTGCTGCCCTTAGGCCACTTCCAGGCTGAGGGCTGTGGACAGAGGGGGGGACCGAGAACTGTCGGGGCCCCCACGGCTCCAGGACGCTGGTGGGGTCAGCAGCAGCAGCAGCCCAAAGGGACAGCAGAGCCTGGGGTGCCGGTGCTGGCCCTCCACCCACACCGGAGGGCCTGGTGCGCACACCTGGTCGTCCATGAGGGACAGGAGAGGAGAGATGACCAGCGTGAGACAGGGGCTTCGCCGGGCGTAGAGCAGCGCAGGGAGCTGGTAGCACAGGGACTTGCCGGCGCCGGTGGGCAGCACCAGCAGAGTGGACATGCCTGATGGGAGCCACATCAGCAGAGCTGCTCTGCGGCCTGGCCTCGGCCCCATCACTCCCCACAGCCGCCATGCTCACCAGACAGGATCCGCATAACTGCATGCTCCTGCCCAGGGCGGAAGGCTCGGTGCCCCAGCTGCTCCAGGGCCTGCAGCACCTCAACCGGCGTCTCTGTGGACACAGGTGTCGGGTCAGCATGGCCGAGGCGCCCCCACCTTTGGGTAAAGGTCCTAGGCTGGTTGGCTTCTGCTTACCTGCCACCTGCCCCAAGGGACCTGGCAGGTAGAGTGGTGGCACAGCTGGGGATGGGCAGGGTGCCCCAGGCACCGGTGCCTCCGTGGGCACTAGCAACTCAGACCCAGCAGGACCCGTATCTTCCTCGCCTGCGGGGGGTGGACAGGAGAGGGTTTTGTGGGAACTCCAGACTGGTCTGGCGTCTTTCTAGCAGGAAGGCGACTTCCACTCACCAAGGAGCTGGCCGCAGGCAGTATGTGTCCTCTGAGTCACTGCCTCCAACGTGGGCAACGTGGGCATGTCCTCTTCATCCTCACCATCCTCTTTCTCCGGAACCCGGGTAGGTTTTGGGCCTGGGGCACGGAGTAAAGCGGGCTTTTTGCTTCAGTCAGACCCCAAAGAGCACAATGCCCTCTCCAAGCAGTGTTGGCCCAACACACGACACAGAAAGCTCACCTGATTTGGGGCACTGGGATGCCCAGTGGCCGAGCTGCCCACACCGGAAGCAAGAATCCTTGACTGGGGCCTGGAACTGCCCACCCCCGAAACATTCCGCCTTCTTCCTCCATTTCTGTTTCCACACCTGGGGGAGGGCGCGCACGATGGAGGGTCCGAGGGTCACATGGGGGAGGCGGGAGGGGGGAGGGAAGTGCCTGCCACCACCTCACCTGCCTTCGGAGGAGTCTGCCCCGTAGGGCCGGGCCCCGGACATAGCGCTTCTGCTTCAGGTTGAGCCGAACGTAATTGCCCCCGTCCCGCACAGCTGGCCTAGCAGGGACACACAGGCGTGTCTTCCCCATGGCGTCCCCACCTTGGCCTGATTCCAGGGGATCTGCTGGGAGGCTGAACGGTGTTACCTGGGGGCTGAGGGTCCGGGGAGGGGCTGCGCCGGCATGGGCTCCCCTGGACAGTCTTCTCTTGCATGCAGTGCAGCCCCAGCTCCCTCTGGCGGGGAGCCTTCTTGGCTGCTGTGCTGCTGGGCCTGTGTAGCAGTCCCGTTTGGCTCCCCACTTTGTCTCCGCTTCTTGCCTTGGCTGCTGCCCAGGAGGGGGCTCCTTGCACTGACCCCAAGTACCTTCAGAGCTGGAGCCTCTGAGCCCAGAAAAGGTGCCTCAGGGCCCCGGCTGGGGCCAGGATCAGGGGGAACACCTGACATCGGGGGTTGTGGCTCCTCTGTACCCAGGGCAGGATGGCAGGCCTCAGGAGTCCCCACAAAACCTTGGGCCTCATTGTGACACCTCTGTATCCAGCCGGGATCCAGGGAGCTCAGCCGCAGGCTCAGGGACTCCTGCAGCTGCTGGAGCCGGCCTGGTCTTGGCTGGGGCCGGGGGAGCTGGGGCAGCACCTCACTGGCTTCTTCAGGAGACAAGGGGGAAGCCCCTGCAGCTGGCAGCCCCGGGGAAGGCACCTCGGGTGGGGGTCTTTGCAGAGGTCGGGGTATTCGGCGCAGAGCTGGCCCGGCCTGGAAAGGGGAGGACAGACAAGCAGGCATTGGGCTGCCAAAGATCCTGCAACCTGCCCGAGTCCCCACCCAGCCCCTCAGTGTGACTGGGACGGGAAGGAAGCTGGGAGCAGGCCTTTCAGAAGCGGAGGCCTGTTTACTGCGGGAGGTGTGCGCCCTGTTTGTGAGCAGGGGCGCCTGTGGAGGGCGGGGTGTCTGCTCATCCCGCCCCTGGGCAGAGGGCAGTGCTGGACCAAGGTGGACGGCTCCGTAGCCCTGTGCTCACCTGCAGAGCATCCTTCAGGTTTGCCTTGAGCCTCTCCCCATAGTCAGGCACAGACCCGCGAGGGCTCCGCCCTGCAGCAGGAGGGAGACCCCGGGTTACAGCCCGATTCAGGTGGGATCCCCAGCAGCTGGGCTCGGGCACCTGCAGGAGACAGAGGGGTTGGCAAGGCTGATGTGGGGGAAAGAGGTGTCTCCAGGCCCAGTCTCTCTGACCCCTGGAGGGGGCGGACCCTCCACCCCGTCCAGCCCTTCCCCCAAATTCTGTGCCCCGCGGAGCTCCCGAAAGTCCTCGCCGCACAGAAAGCTACGCCGGGAAGCTCGGGAACGGGGCCCCGGTACCTCCTCGGCCGCCTCCGGAAGCGCCTGCGCGTGGACGCTGGGTCCAGCGCCGCTGGCCGGACGCAAGGTCTCCTTCAGGGAGCGGTACTCCCGGTAGAGCGCTGGGGGCGGGTCCGGAGTTAGAGGTCAGGGCTCAGCGGTTCCCGTTCGCCTCCCTCACCCCCGTGCCTCCACCCGGTGACCCCGCCGCCCGGCGCTCACCGCGGGTTTCCTCGGGCGCCGCTTCCACGTCCTCCTGCGAAGGAAGCGCGTCAGCTGGGGCCGCCCCGGGCAGCCTCCCGCCCCGGGCAGCCTCCCGCCCCGGGCAGCCCGTACCTGCACCGGCCGCCGCCCGCGCTGCCGACGGAACGCGCGTTCCCACGCCAGCAGCTGCGCCCGCACGTCCCGCAGCCGCTCCATGCGCGCCGGCCCCGCGCCCCGCGCCCCGCTTCTCCCGCCTTTAGGACGCCGCCGGCCGACAGCCAATGGGGACTCGGCCCGGTCGGGGGCGGGGCGTTTTAGCCAACGCGAAGCTGGGGCAGCCAATCCCCGGGTTCCTGGAGCGACGGCCAATGGGGGGAGGCTACGTCATCGGGGCGCGCAGGGCGGGGCGCGGGGCGGAGCTGACGGCGGCGGATGCTGCTGCGGGCCGGTGAACTCTACTCGGGTGGTGGGGCTGCGGGGCTGCGGGGCGGGCGGGGACGGCTCTGGCCCTGGGGCGCCGCGCCGGGAGGAGGAGGGGTCTGGGCGAGCGCCGCCCCGAAGCCGGGAGGCGGTGCGGGGGCGCTTTCGGGAAACGCCGGGCACTGAGCTCCGCTCCCGGCGACCGCACGGGCTGCCTTCGTTTCCTCTCGTGACAGGTGCTCGCTGGTCTGCCCTTTCTCGGCGAGGTATGCGATGTGTCCGCGGGCAGAGCGCGATCGAGGCTTGGCGTCAGGGCTTCTCCGGAACCGCTGTCCTGAGGTCTTGGGTTCGGTGAGGTCTGGGGCCAGAGGCCCCTTCCGGGCCCGTCGCCCAGGATGCAGCACCAGCCGGGGAGGCCTAGTCCTTGGTCCTCACGTCCTGCTTCCTGTGACCGGGAGGCAGCTTGCGGGACGAGGTGCTCTGATTCAGCAGCAGAACTGGCCCGGGTTCTGTGCCTCTCTAACTGCAATGCCCCTTTGGCAGCGGCCTCTCGCTATTGAAGCAGTTCCTAGCCTGGAGCCTCCTGAATGGATGGTTTGAACCTTGGCTTCTTGACTGGTTCTTCAGGAGGAGGGAGATGTTCAGGCCGCTGAGAAGGCCCTCGGTGGGTGAGGGTTGCTTTCCAAGAGTTTCCAAGTCTGGATATACAAGTTAGGACTAAGGGTCATGTCGAGGGTTTGGGTTACTCAGGCCGTCTGGGTTCTGTTTCCTAGGCCCCGGCCCTTTATACTTGCCCCGGTGTTTATTGAGCACGGTTGCTTCCAGCTCCTCTCTGCTGCTGTGCTCTCCTGGGTCAGCCTCCACTAGTCTTGGAGGAGAGCACTGCAGGGAACTGCGATGCAGCTTCCAGCCCCTCCTCCCCAGGGGGCGGGGCCAGGACTGTAGTTTATTTTTGAAGGAGGCTCTCTAATAAGTTGCTTTGTACTGTAATTTCAGAGGCCTGAAGTGGGGGTGGGGGTGGGGAGGCTGCTGGCAGCAGCTATCAAAAGCACACCAGGTGGGCAGGTCCTCTCTGGAGCCATGTTATTGCCTGCTGCTTGGCGGCTTTGTTTTCCTGAACAAGCCCCCAGGCTTCTGGAGTATGGAACTACGGAGTGGCCATTGCTAGGCACCTAGCACTTACTCTTCAGAGTTGGGGTCCCACAGACCATAGACTGGCAGGCACCGTGCTGGGCTTTCCTGCTACTAGTGTGTGAAGGAGTCTGTGGCCGGGGGTAGCCTGGGGTCTGTCCTCCCCACTGAAGGTCCCTTCCCTGCAGGTAGCCTCCCACCTGGCCCGGCGCCATGCACACGCTCGTGTTCCTGAGCACACGGCAGGTGCTCCAGTGTCAGCCCGAGGCCTGCCAGGCTCTGCCCCTGTTCCCACGCGAGCTCTTCCCCCTGCTGTTCAAGGTGGCCTTCATGGACAAGGAGACCGTGGTGCTGCGCGAGCTGGTGCACACGTGGCCCTTCCCCCTGCTCAGCTTCCAGCAGCTGCTGCAGGAGTGCGCCCACTGCAACCGGGCCCTGCTGTGGGAGCGGCCCAGCACAGAGAGTGTGCAGGCGGTGACCCGGGGGCTCACAGCCCGGCTCCACACCCCGGAGGCCGAGGCTGGCACACGGTCCTTTTGCAGGTACGGATGGGCTCACCCGAGGGCGTGGGGTGTGCAGAGAGGGTCCCCAGAGAGGATTCAGGCTGGCGCTAAGAGCTCAGTGCAGATATAGGTGTGTTGCTTCTGTCCCAAGGTGGCTGGGATTGGGTGCCGGTCTCCCTCTTACCACCTGTCTCCGCCCGCTTGTGCTCCCAGGAAGCACGCACTGCGGTTGCTGGACATGACGGGCCTCCTGGACGACGGTGTGGAGCGGGACCCCGGCACCATGAGCATGTGGGACTGCACGGCAGCCGTGGCCCGCACGTGCGTGGCACGGCAGCAGGGTGGGACCGTGGAGCCCGGGCTGACCCCTGCTCCTGTGGAGGTGTGCGTGGACCTTCGGGTGAACCAGCCTCCTATGCGTTCCTGCGGGAGGCCCTCCGAAGCAGCGCAGGCAGCCCGCTGCGGCTCTGCTGCCGGGACCTGCGGGCTGAGGACCTGCCCATGCGGAACACGGTGGCTCTGCTGCAGCTCCTGGATGCAGGCTGCCTGCGCTGTGTGGACCTGCGCTTCAACAACCTGGGCCTGCGCGGCCTGTCTGTCATCATCCCACATGTGGCCCACTTCCAGTGTTTGGCCAGCCTTCGGCTGCACTATGTACACGGGGACTCACGGCAGCCCTCCGTGGATGGTGAGGACAACTTCCGATACTTCCTGGCCCAGATGGGCCACTCAGTGCCTAGCAATGGCCACTCCCTAGTTCCATACTCCACTCAGCATGGGCTCCTCTCTCCTCTCAGGGCGGCTGGACCAGCTGCTCAGGTCAGTGGGCCCTACTGTTCTGCCTCTCCCCTCCCCAGAACCCTCCCCTGCCTGTTCGTGACCCTTGCTTTACCTGCAGCACTCTGCAGAGCCCCCTGGAGAGTCTGGAGCTGGCCTTCTGTGCTCTGCTGCCGGAGGATCTGCGCTTCCTGGCACGCAGCCCCCACGCTGTCCACCTCAAGAAGCTGGACCTGTGTGGCAACGACCTGTCTGGCAGCCAGCTGGAGCCTTTCCAGGGGCTGCTGCAGGCGGCAGCGGCCACACTGCTGCACCTCGAGCTGACCGAATGCCAGCTTGCTGATACCCAGCTGCTGGCTACACTCCCTGTGCTGACCTGCTGTGCCAGCCTCCGCTACCTCGGCCTCTACGGTAACTCGCTATCCATGGCAGGTCTCAAGGAGCTCCTGCGGGACTCGGTGGCACAGGCTGAGCTGCACACCTTCCCTGTGGACTGCTATGAGGGCCTGCCCTGGCCACCACCTGCCTCTGTCCTACTGGAGGCCGCCATCAATGAGGAGGAATTTGCTTGTGTGGAGGCTGAGTTGCACCAGCTGCTGCTAGCTTCGGGCTGTGCCCACGTGGTCTGGACCACGGACATCTATGGTCGCCTGGCTGCAGACTACTTCAGTTTGTGATTTCAGGGCTACTGGGTGACAAACAGGCTGTGCCAGAGTCCAGGGCTGCTGGAGGCCCCTCCCCCTCCTGGGTAGGCACAGCCTTGGCTGAGACCCTGCTAGAGGCCTGGCACAAAGGCACTGGTGTCTGATTTTTGTGCCCCATGGGTGTACCCTGCGAAGTTCTGCCCTGCACTTGCCCCCCTGACTGTTTACCCGTCTCTGGGCCTGAGGTCTGGATTCTAGCCCTACCCATCCCTGCTTGATTAGTTTGCACTTGGCTGCTTTCTGGGTCTTGGTCTTCAGAATGCCTGAGCTGAGAGAGGGGGCTCCCTTAGGCCCTCCTCCAGGGCAGACTGCCCTTTGTTGAAGTTGGCACTGGCATGCCTGCTGGAGGTTGGTCCTCTGCCCTGGCACTCAGGAGACTGACTATCGGCTGTGCTTTGGGACCAGACCGAGTTATTACGGTACAAATGTGCAGTGTGTTTGGAACTTAAATTTGTGGCTGTTTTTTCTGTCCTAACTGGTCAGCGAGTTGTCCCTGGCTCTGCTGCCACACCCAGTATGGCCCCCGTTACAGCTTCTTGCGGTCCGCTCTCCCTCCCCTGGGCATTCACAGCACGAGGAGACCTCGGGGAATGCCCGCATCCTCCCCCACTCCCGGCCTCCCGCCCACTCGGTGCCCCTAGGCCCCACACACAGCTCGGCTCACGTCGCGCAGCTTCCACCCTTTACTGATCGCGCTGGAGCATGCGCGAACGGGGCCCGCCGACTGGCCAATCCGCAGGGCTCGCGTCATCGGCGCGCGCCGCCCGCCCTCAGCAGTGGAGCTCATAGGCGGCGGGCGGCTGCGGTGGGAACCCCTGCGCGGGTCCGGGCGCCACCCCATGGGCCACCCGGACCGGGTCCTCGGCGAAGAGCGGCTTGGAGCGGTCGATGACGAACATTTCGTGGCCCCGCTCGCCGCGGAGCTCCTCCAGCTGCGCGGAGGTGCAGGGCCCGTCCGAGTAGTCGTTGGCGAACAGCGCGCCCTCCCCCGGCGGCCCCGGCGCCTTTTTCCGCCTCCGCCGGCGCCGGCGGCAGATGAGGGCGGCCAGCAGCAGCGCCGTCAGCGCCAGGAGCGCGATGGCCGCCGCGATCGCCGTCTGCGTGGCCAGGCTCAGGGCGCGGAAGGCCATGCTGCTTGCCTCGGGCAGGGGCGCGGGGCCCGCGGCGGCCGGCGGGGGCTGCGGTTGCAGCTGCTGCTGGGACACGTTGACCCGGAGCCGGAAGGGCACCCGAGCGACGCCGCCGGCGTTGGAGGCTTCGCACTCGTACTTGCCGGCGTGGGCCGGGGTGATGTTGGTGAGGAAGAGCATGCCGCTGCCCGTGTCGGAGGCTCCGTGCTCGCCTGGGCCTGGCACCCCGGCTCCTGGCGGGGCCTGGGCCCGCGGTTGTCCCCCGCGAGGCTCAGCCACCTTCCTCCAGGTTACCAGGGGCTGCGGGTAGCCGGAAGCCTGGCAGGCAACCCGCAGGTTCTCACCCAGGTTGGCTGTCACCTCCAGCGGCTCCACTTGCACGGAAGGTGGGATGCAGATGAGGCTACTGCCAGAGACATCCAGGAGACTCTGGAGGGCCAGGCGGGGAGGCTCTGTGCACACGATCTTCCTGTCCCTGGAGCTGAGCAACCTCTGCCCCGCCTCCTTGAGCCAAGCTCCCAGCCAGTGCAGCGCGCAGTCACAGCGCCACGGGTTTTCTGTGAACAGAGCAGCGGTGAGCAGGCAGCCCAGGGGCAGCTGCGACCACAGCCTGTGCAGTTGGAGTTCCACTGGCCAGACCAGGAGCCCCTTCACTACCTCCCAGAGTCAGGGACCCCTACTACCCCTACGCTGACCCCAAGCTCCTTAGAGTGTGGCCCCTTCAGTTCAGGATATCTATTGTAAGAAGTCTCTTGTGCCTCTGAAGTCTCTGCAACAAGTCCCACTATTTGAGGGGAATCCTGGTGTCCACATGACATCTCACCACCACCGTCAGCCTTGTCTCTCAGGTGTTGTCTACTAGAAATGCCCCCAATCCTGGTCTCATCTTTCTAGTTTCTACCTACCTGCCCTCTGATGGCCCCTCAACTGTGTCTACTTTGTTTAGAGACTTTTCTGTCTTCCTTACAAAAGTTATCTGAGCTGTGCCCCTACCAACACCCCCATTCCTGGCAGCATTCACCGTGGTTGCTAGTAGTGGTGTGGCCCTCCAGAGCTGCCCTGGGGGTGCACAGCTCTTGGCCACTCCATTGGGTTGCCCTCCTTAGCTGGGCCTGCTCTCTACTGCCAGCACTGTGGCTTGCAATCTTTGCATGAGACCCGCTGCTCCAGAAGAGGTACCTGTGAGGCGTAGGACCTGCAGGCTGGCCAGGGGCTTCAGGGTCTCATGGCTGATGGTGCCCAGCTGGTTCCTACTGAGGTCCAGCAGTGCCAATGAGGAGAGCCCGGCCAGGGCCTGGTCCTCCAGCAGCTTAATGCTGTTTTCCTGCAGGTGCAGCTCCTGCAGTCGCTGAAGCAAGGACAGCAAATCATCAGGAAAAGGGGTTCTAGCAGACATGTTTCCTTACCAGGCTGGTTGACTTTGTGTGTGTGTGTGTGTGTGTGTGTGTGTGTGTGTTTGTGTGTGTGAGATTAGAATTTATTTGATCATCCGCACACCAAGTTGTGCGGATGGTTGACTTTTGTCCCTTTCACAACTCCAGCCCCTCAGAGCAACTGACAGTACAGGAGGATCCCTGCCCTTCCCCCACCCCCACACCTCTCACCCTCACCCCTCACCCCTCACCGGCAAATGCAGGAAGGTGAAATCCAGCAGCTGCATCAGCTGGTTACCAGCCAGGTAGAGTATGCGCAGCTGAGCCAGGCCTGTAAAAGCCCCCAGGTGCAGGCCTCGCAGCTGGTTGCCTGTGAGTGCAAGCTCCAGCAGGCGCGACTGTGCACGAAAGGTGCCTGGCTCCAGGGTGCGAAGGCTGTTGTTGTGCAGGTAGAGGCTGTGAAGGGCGGCAAGGGGCGCCAGGATGCCTAGCTCCAGGCACTCGATGCTGTTATCCTGCAGGAACAGCGTCTGCAGGCCAGAGGGAGGGGGGCAGTACCCCACTGAGAGAGAATTCCTCCGACTAAGGTCCCCATCTACCCACCAGGATGCTCACACACCCTTCCCTCCTCGCCCGCAGTCCCACACAGTTCCCACCTGTGTCCCAGGCGGGATTCCTGGCGGGACCACGTGCAGCCCCAGGGCCCCACACTCCACCGTGGTGCTGTAGCAGCGACAGGCAGCTGGGCAGCTGGTGGCTCCGGGCGGGAGACTGGGCAGACAGAGCAGCGACAGCAGCAGCAGTGCCGGGGCCCCGGAGGCCATCTCCCAAGGCCAACCACAAAGTGGCAGCCTCCTCACCAACTTCGCTACAATGGGGCCCCAGATGGGAAGCACTTCCTGAAACAGTTTGGCAAGGTCTTGCCCTAACACTTGTCAGTGAAAAGCATGGATGGAAGCTCACACCATGTCTAATGTTTGGAAAATTATAAATCAATTTAAGAAACCGATAAAAGGTTTTCTTAATGAAAACAGTCAAGGATTTGGGATGTTAGGTTCCAATTTTGAATTTCTGATGTCCTCTGCACACAGGCCACATGGGGAGAGCCCACCCTGTCCCCTTCTCTCCCCATTCCTGGCATAGAGGCTCCCACCCAGCCACGAGCATGTCTGTCCAGGTAGCACCGCCCTCTACACCCTCCCAACTAGCCTCTCTGGACCCGCATTGCAAGAGGCTGGTATAAGGTATGGTGATATGGGCAGGGACCATGTGGGTGGTGAAGTCCAGAGTCATTCCCCAAGCCTGGGCCAGAGGAGGAGCAAAGACCACCCTTTTACATGTGGACTCTGCTCTCGGGACTGGCATGAGATCTTGTAAGGCCTAGACCCCAGAGCAGAGGTCTCTTTTGTACCCCCCAAATAAGATCACTTGATGGGAGGCAGGGCAGGACTAGTTTTAGAGGAGTCAAGAGCCACAGAAAAATCCAGGCCCTCCTTTATCCTGCCCAGGAGTGGGGTGGGTAGAACATTACTGGAATGAGGGCTTGTTCTGTGGGAACTTGTTAGAAAGTAGAATTATGAGAATTATGAAGCAAATGATAAGAACATTTCCCAAGCTATGGCCTGTGTTCTTCATGCTGGCTCCCAAAAAGGTGCCTCTTTTGAGGGACAGTGGGGCCCTGGATTGGTTGGGCCACCAACTTGGTTCCTAGTGTAGTTTCAAGTGACTTTCTGAAGGAATGTGGTGTGGTGTTCATTTAGGCACATGCAACTGTGACCCTAAAGAGACGGGAAGGCCTGGGTCTAGTTCCAGGCACAAGGAGTCCAGTTTTAAAGGTGGGGATCTGGGCTGAGAAACCAACCAGGGTGGCAGGGCTGAGGGTTGGCTGTCAACCTCAAGTGCCCCCCCACCAAGTGGTACCTGCTCTGAGCACCCCAGTTCACCAGGTTTTCCGCTATCAAGAGGGAGTCTTGTAGAAAAGAACTAGGTGGCCTTGCTGGTGGCTTAAATCTGCCCTAAAGTAATTACTTAAAAGTCACTAGAGATGAAGTAGGCACAGCAAAAGCTTTAATGGAGTAGCTTTGGCCCAGGCAGAGGCAGCTCCCTCCCTGGTATCAGGATGCTTGCGGACCCCAAGAGGCCAGGGGAATTCTCTTGGCCCCTGGCACTCATCTCCTTGAGCAAAAGGGCTTGCCCACACCCATCTTCCAGGGGCACGGCCTCTCCAGCTGAGAAGGTTCTCGGCTTCCTCCTCTGGACTCAGAACAGTGCTGATCATACGGGCATCCCTAGATGCGGAGCCATATCACAGGGCCAGCTGGGCAGGGATGAGGGCCCAGGCGGGAGGAGCCTGGGAAGCCCGCCCACAAGTCCTTTTACTCAGCGGACAAACCATAATCTGGCTGGGTAAGGGGCCTGGCATCACATAGGCTTCGAGAAGGCTGACACGGCCTCGAGGGCGCCCGTCTGTGCTGGGGGGTGGGGTGGGAGGAAGCCCTGCTACCCCATCAGGTGCAGAATCAAAACCGACCCAGGCACCTCAGTACCCCAAGGCGTGGCCTGCCTCCCCAAAGCGTGGGTCTGTTCCGAGCGATCCAGGCAGGGCGTGGTCCAGCCAATCGCACATCCTCAGTGCGCGCAGCAGACGGCCCCATCCCGCCCCACGCCCGCTGACCTTGCTCCGGGCGCCCCCTCACCTGACGCTCCCGCGGCGCGGCTCCCCAGCCGAGCCCACAGCGCAGCCCGGGCGGGGGAGGGGTAGGCGCCGGTCGCGCGCACACACCGGAGCCCCTGCACCTCCCGTTCGGTCGAACGGGCCAGCCGTCGCGAGCGCGGGCACAAGCAGAAGACTGACACCCTAGATGGGGAGGGAGCGGAAGGGCCCGGGCCCCTCCCGGCACTCGGTCCGGAACCAGCGATGGCAGCACCTCGGACAGCGCCGCGAGGGGCGGGGCCTAGACGCTCCCCGCCGCGCACGCGCACGCGGCCCGCGCGCGCTCCAGGCGGCGCGTGCGCAGCGGCGCGGGCGAGAGGCGCGCTCAGGGCCAGCGGCCGCCCGCCCGGCACTCAGGGCGCGGGGGCGCCGAGCAGCAGCGGGGCCAGGTCCATGGTGAGGGGGAGGCGCTGGCCCTGCCAGTGCACGTGGGAGGGCACCGCGGCCGCCCCGGGCGGGTACTCGAAGCAGGCGCTGAGCTCGAAGGCCAGGGCCGAGCGCACCAGGCCGACGCCCCCCGCGCGCTCGGGGGCCGGGTGGTACAGGCGCCCGTTGGCGGCCAGCGGCAGCAGGCGCGCGGGCTCGAAGGGCACCGCCAGCGCCTCGCCGCCGCCGCAGTAGGAGAGGCGCGGGGCGCCGGGGCCCGCAGCCAGCAGGTGCGTGAAGACCACGGGCCGGTCCTCGCAGCGCAGGAAGTTGCGCTCCCTGCCGCAGGGAGAGAGGAAAGGGAAGGCGGCCTCGTAGCGCCCGCTGCGGTTGGGTCTCAGCCGGGAGAAGAAGGTGACCAGGAACTGTAGGTCTGGGGAGGCGAAGGGCACGGGCTGCTCACCATGCCAGGCCTCCTTGCCCCAGGGCCACGCCGGGGGCCGGCGCCTCCCCAGACCGCGGAGCTCCGGATGTCCAGCCCCGGCCGCGGGCGGGGTTGGGGAGCGGACCCTCCGAAGCCTTCCCCGGAGGGAGAGGAAGGCGGGAGAGGAGGGCGCAGCGGTACCTTTGAAACAGGTGATGAAGTTCTTCATCTTGGAGTCATCCAGGAAGAGCTGCAGACAGAGGGACAGGCGGTGCCCATGAGCCCGGCCGGCCCGCCGGAGGCGGGAGGTCCCTATGGCCCTGGCAGTGCCTGTGTCCGCGTCCTTGGCTCCTCTGTGCACACCGTGTGCGGAGGAACGCGCAGAGGGAGCCGGGCCCTTCCCATTCCCCGGTCCCGCCCGCACTCGGGCCCGGCTTCAGGTTCACTGAATCGGCCTTTCCGCGTCTTTAACCTCCAGCTTATAATCGGGTGCCGCATTCTCTGCGGGGCTACCTGGCTGGCTTCCTCCTGGGTGTGGCCATTGCCCCCCCGCCCCCTGCCCCCGCCCGGGCTTGCAGAGCAGGCGGGCAGCCCAGGACTGGAGGCTGAAGGTGGGAAGGAACTGGGGTGCAGACACAGGTAGAGCTGGCAGCTGGGGGCGCGGGGAGGGACGACTATCCTCCGGAGCTAAGACCCGAGGGCGAGTCTCCCCAGCGCTGAGCCAGTTCACACTGGTCTAACGGACCCTCCCGCCTTTCCGGCCCGCCCCCAGTGGTCCTCCGCCCCGCCCCGGCCCACCTGGCCCTGGTGGTCCACGTAGTAAAAGTACTCGCGGGTGCGGGGCGCGGGGCTCTGGCCCTGCGTGTAGGCGACGCCCGCAGTCCCACTGCAGGCCCGCGACCCCGAGGCCCGCGCCAAGGGCAAGGCCCAGGTCCGCAGCGCCCCGCACACACACACCGGCCACATCCTCCTCCCGCGCCGGAAGCAGCCGGAGGGTCAGGAGGTGGAGGCGCTGCGTCAACACGCGTCCCCCGCGGCCCAGGCCTCGCGCTTCGGGTTCCGGGGCAGGCGGCGGCGGCAGTCACTTGGTCCGCGGCTCCCGCGTGCCGGACTCCGGGCGGCCCGGACACTTGCTTTTCTGGACCTAGCGGGCAGCCCGCCCTCTGGTCAGATGCGGGTGGGTGCAGGCGGGCCCGCATGTGCCTGCCTGTCTTCTCCCCGTTCCCTAGGCAGCCAGCCCCGGGCAGCAGGTGCTGAATTAGAATTGAACCAACACTGTCCAGAAGCCTGTGCAGAGTTGGGAGAGGGCGGATCAGGAAAGGCCCAACCCCTGGGGTAATCCTGGTTTTTGTAGTCAAGTTCATTGCTCCAGTGACCATAGGGGGCCCAGAATCAGTCTCCTTCCTGGCGTAGCCCCTCCCCAGCAGCCTTGCTTTCCCCACACCCGCCCAACTTGCTGCTTCCCCCATTTTTCCCTGGCCTGTCCATCCAGAGGCCCTTACCAACAACTGGCTGGCCATACCTCCACAGTCGCCCTCAGGAACATCAGCGAGCATGGCTCCCAAGGTTCCATATGTACTTTATTCACACAGTTGTCACCTCTTCAGTCCATGCGTCAGAGCAAGTCTGTGGCTAAGGTTGCCCCACTCAGGCCCAAAATCACCTGACTGAGGACACACCATCCAAGGGTACCCGAGCTTCTGCAGGGCTGGGCTTTTTTAATAAATAAAAACTCAACTCTAAAAATATATATATATATAAAAACTGGGGAGAAATTAAGTTTTGTAATTTAAACTGAAAATTCCAAAATGGAAAATGTACAAACTGAGAGTCTAGGGGTCCCCTCTCCCCAGCTCTGGCCTCCAGGAAGGGCAGTCCTGGGCGCCCTCAGCGCCTTCCCTCTCGCTCTGGGGAGAGGCAGGATATGGTTTTTGGTCAGAAGCCAAAAAGTGGAGAAGAAAAAGAAATAACTTGCTCTTCACAGAGGACGGGTTAGGATGGCTTGGAGATAAATAACATTTGGGTTAAAACTATGTCATTAGCAAATGTAGTTCTTATATCTTTCCCTCTATTTATATCTCTATACACAGGAGGGTTGGGCTGCAGGATAGATTCTGAATTTATAGTTACACCAAGAAAAAATACTCTTGTCCTCCCCCACCCTGCCCCAAGAATGCCTGCCCATGCCTGCCCCCTCAGAGGACTTTGGTTTGGGGGTCCCTCCCCACCCAGAGATAGCCTGCCGGGCTCTGCCTGGGCCAGGCTCAGATGTTGGATAGCCCAGTCTCCTGGAGCCCCCAAACTCCTGTGCAGTTAGTATGCTGGAGGCCACAGGTGGCTAGGGAATGGGGGCCTGAGTAGGGAGGAAACTGCAGGTCAGACGATTGAGGGAGAGAGGCTACCTGAAGGGCCCACGCCAGGCCCAGGCTGAGCACAGGAGCCCCGGGAGGTGGCTGTGCCCTCGGCGCCTGTGGGGCAGTGTCACTTGGCTCCAGGAAACAGAAGGCACTTTCTTGGGGCTGACCCTGGCTGGCGTGTGGTGGGGGACGGGCAGTCCCCCGGCACTGGCCATGAGGCAGGTGGAGTCAGAGGCACCCTTCTCAAAGTCCCTCTACCCTGGCCGAGTCCTGGGGGAGGGGGGATGTTCCAGGGCTGGGCCGGGCATGGCCGGAGCCTGGCATGCTACCTCCACGGCTGGGGCATTCCCTCCCCCCTCCCCACGTGCTCCCCTGCCCTGGTGCACCGAGCCTGGTGTCCCCACCCTCGTCCCCCGGCCCACGCGCTACAGCACGCCCTCCATGAAGCTGGTGTCCAGGTGCTGGATGAGCACGCGCAAGAAGGACATTTCCTTGCGCGTGTTCTCGAAGATGACGCGCGGGTCGTCCGATCGGCAGCGCAGGCAGTTGGGCGCCATCACCATGGCCAGGTTGCTTACATCCATTTTGGTGATGGCCACGTTGGCAGGCTGCACGAACACCTGCGAGAGGCAGTGGCTGGTGGGCAGGGGCACACGGTACGGTGGGGCGGGGCGGGGTGTGCTGGGGCAGGGGTGCTGGTGTCGGAGGGTCCCACACACCTGGAGGAAGCGGATGAGGTAGCACAGCACCAGGCGGTTGATGCGGGGCAGCGAGTGCACCACGGCCACGGCAGCCTCCGGGCTCTCGTACTGAGCGATGCACTGCTCGTAGAACTCGTGCGGGATCAGGGGCTCCTCCAGCTCCCGGTACCACAGCTTCAGCAGCGACGCTGCAGACACAGCGAGCAGCTCAGCCAGGCCCAAGGGCTGGCACCCCTGGGCAGAGAGCGGTGTGGACCACCCGGCAGCCTCTGCCACAGGAGTGGAAGGGGCCTTGGGGGAGGGGGCAGGCAGCAGGCCGCCTGAGGGCAAAGGGTCCGCCCGGCCGCGGTGGGCTGTGATGACCCTGGCCTATGGAGGTTACGGACCTGAGAGCCGGGAAGGATCCAGGCCCAAAATATGGCTTCTTTGAGGGAGGGCTGTGCAGCTGCTGTGAGCAGGCAGGGCTGGAGGGAGGACCCAGGGTGGCTGTCCAGTGGACAGGAGGCGGCTCTTGCTGGAAATGAACCAGGAGCCGCTACATCACCTGGACTGGGCCTGCTCCTGCTGCCCAGGGGCCCGGGGCTCACCGGGGACGTGGGGGTCCTCCAAGCCTGTAGGCACCTTCCACTGGTCCACCTGGAGCTTCAGGGCGTTCACTTCATCAATGTCCCCGGGGACTCTGAGCAGAAGGAGGGTGTCAGGGAGGAGCCTGGCTTCCCAGCCACCCCTCCTCTTCCCCCTTCCCACAGCCTCCTTCCCACTCCCATACATATGTGTTCCTCTTTAGGGATGCTGAGGCCAAATCCACATGCCTCCGTTTACCCAGCGGCCTGGACAGGGAATCGTGACAGCAGGTGACGGGACAAGTACCACTGACCAGGGGACAGGGCTTGTTGTCCTGTCACGGAGAGGACCGAAGGCTGGGTTACTGCCACTCATGGCTTCCATCTCAGCCTGCTCATGGCTGTACTCCCAGTGCTCCCCAAGCCCTGGCGGCCATTTATGGGGGGGGACTGACCCAGCAGCCCTTCCGCCTGGCCCTGCCTCCTGAGGATGGCCGGCCCTGCCTCTCAGAGTGCCTTTCCCCACCGGAAGCAATGCTGGCCTCCCTGGCTGCTTAGAAGTTCCAGACACACAGTGGAGCTGCCTAACTCCCCCCCTCCCCCCCGCCCCAGGCCTTGGGCACCTGAAGATGCCTTCTGTCTGGTCACCGTTGAGCGCCAGCACCTCCTCAGACAGCCGGGTCTGCACCCAGGGCAGCTGCCGCTCTGGGTAGCGCTCCTTCTGCATGCTCATGATCTCCGGCAAGGCGCTGCCGAACATGGACGGGCTGAACACCGCGTTCTTGGCATGCCGGATCTCCTCCATGTTGGGTTTCTTCAGTCCCTGCAAAGACAGCTGCTCTGTCCTGCCAGGCCTAGCTCCCAGCCCCTACCCCCAGGACTATCTTTGGCTTGGCCGCCCCCTCCTCCCTGTCCAAGAATCCCCGCTCCTTACACCCTTGAATCCCAGGTTTCTGCCCAACCAGAGCTGGGGACACCCCGACTCCCTGGCCAGTCACCAGCAGCCGCCTGCTGAGCTGCCTACAGCACCCAGAAGCCTCAGGGGAAGAGGGTGGGAATGATTCTAGGCAGGCCAGTCGGAGCTGCCTGGGCGCCACAGTCGATCACACTGGGGGGTGCAGAGGGGCCGAGGTGGGTGCAGTGGTGGCTTCTGAAGCCTGCAGCAGGGCTGGAGCAATGCATTCAAAGGAGAGACCAGGCTCTGGGATAGTAGGGGGCAGTTGTAGAAGAGCCGGAGAGGCACCAGGGTGGAGTAGCGGGTGGAAAGGGATGAGGGGGAGGGGTGCAGATACTACCCCCATCCCCACCCCCTCTCCGGGGGGCAGACGGAAGGGGATGGCTGCAGATCCCAACAGGCCAGGAACAAGGCCCAGCTGGCGGTGAGATGAGGCCACCTGCCTCTATTGGAGCCAGAGGCAGATGGCTGTGGGAAGGGGTGTGGCTGCCAAGCTCGTGCAGGTGGGGGAGGTCCCACTAGGCAGATGTCAGGGAAGCAGTAGGGGAGGGTGCTGCTGGAGCCACCTGCCCGTCTGTGGGGTGGGGCCCCTCCTTGTCAGGAGCCTGTGACAAGTCTGGGCTCTCAGGCCTCCATGGCTGGTGGGTGGCCCAGTGTGAGCAAAGGAGCAGGACAGTCCCCTGAGCCCACCTGCGGGGGAGGTTCCCTTAGCGAGGGGTGGTCCTTTGCTTGCTCTCTGAACCCAGCCACACCAGCCGGAAGCTGGCAAACCTGGGGCAGCTGGGCTTGCTGCCACCCTCATGAAGACTGGTGGCCTGAAGCCCTGGCCCAGCCACACGCCCCTCTGTCTGCAGTGGCTCCTGACCTAGGGGCGCACTCCTGGCTGCCCATCCCAGTGGACTCTCCCCGGCATCTTCCGCCGTGGCTCTCACTGCCCCCATGGGTAGGCTGCCCGAGTCCCGCGCCCCACCCGCCAGGCCGTCCAGGAGACAGTGTACCTTCTTGGCCCCTGTCAGGGCTGCCTTCTGCAGCTTGTGGTAGCAGTACTTGGCATATGTGCTGATCGCCACCCCTGGAAAGGAACGGGTGCCGGTCAGCTTGGCGTCGAGGTGTGTGGCACAGGGGCTGCAGCCAGCCCGTGACTAAGAGAGGAAGCAGCAGGAGTGAGAGAGGCAGTCTCGGCCAGCGCCCGGGTGGCCACAGGCCCTCCCCTCCCAGCCCAGGGCAGTGGGTCCTCATTCTCCAGAGCTGTCCTCTGGAGCAAAACGCACGGAAGCAAGGGGCACTTCTCCCATCTCCAGAGGAGCCAGGGTGGAGGAACCTCTCGCTGGCCCACCCTCCTCCTGTCCATCCATCCAGGGGGGGCAGTTTGGATTGCAGGTCTGTTCCCCAGGAGGAGTCGCAGAAAGGTCAGGGCAAGGCTTGGGTTCCAGGGACTCCAAACCTCAGGCTCCCTCCCCCGCTGGCGCTGCAGAGCCATCTCCCTGTAGCACCTGGGGTCCTCAGGATGTGCTGTGCTGGGCCAGCACTAGGGGAGGTCGGGCTGGCTAGACACCAGGCCCTGCTCTCCTGCAGCCCTTCTCCTCATGGGAACCCTGGGCTGCCCTGGGAGAGGGCTTTGGCCCCAGGACCCGATACCTGCAGGGCTGAGGGCTGCCTGGGTGGGAGTCAGGAGAGGGAGGCCCAGGCATGGTCCAGGGTGCAAAGGGGACGAGAGTGGAGGGGATGCTGTGTCTGAGCCTATGGACATGGCCCTTCCGGGGAGCTGTTTGGAATGGACGGTGCTCCAGCAATGGAGGCCAGGGAGCACTTTGCAGCAGCTGCTGGCCCTCACACTGGGGAAGGCCTACTCCCCTCTGGGCAGAGGGGTATGTGTCTCCAGTCCTTGTCTTGGGGACTGTGGGAGACACCCCTGACCTTGTCCCCAGGCTTCCTGGGGCCGGACCCAACCCCTGCTAGAGGCTGTGATCTGAAGACCCAGAGGCTGCCACCTCTCAGCTGGTGACGGGCCAGATGCAGCCTTTGTGGCCCGAGGCCCCTCCTCTGCAGGATGGGGTGGGACACCTGTCTCTCAGGGGCTGGAGGGCTGACCTCAGAGGCTGGTATCACAGGGAGGACCAGAGTGAGGCCAGGAGTGCACAGATCGCTCTGTACCACGTGCTGCAGTGGGCACAGCCTCCTGGGCCAGGACATGGGTGTCCGCTGCGTGCATGGGGTGAGCAGTGCCCACGGGCAGCCCAGGGAAACCCTGGCAGTGTTGTGGGTGCTCTGCTCCAAGCCCACTGCCCATTTGGCCTCGTCAGGACTCACCAGGTCACGCTCATCCTGTTACAGATCGGAGACAGGCCCACAGAGGGACAAAAGCAGGTCTCTCAGAGTCTGCGCCAGGCAGACATTCCTCCCATCCACAGCACCCCAGACTGCAGGACCCAGGGACAGGATCACTGCACCCCCAGCCCCACCTGCTGCTGCAGCTGACTCTCAAGAAGTGGGCTCAGGCAGGAGCTCAAAGCTCCTTCGACTCCTGGGCCAGCAAGACCAAGAGCAGCAGGAATCCTGGGTTCCAACAGCCCTTTCTCTTGCCCAGGGCAGCCCTGAGGAAGGACCAGTGAAGGAGCTCAGGGGAGAAGGAGCAGGTAAGCAGAGTGAAGAAGGGGAGGTGAGCCTGACAGCAGCAGTCCTCAGTCCCCCCGCAGGGAGGGCAGCCTCAGGTGAACGGCTTCCCTAGATTGGGCAGGGTGTGGTTCTGAGCCAGGGCTCCAGGGAGGCCTGAGCTGGAGGCGTGTGCGTCTTCTCCCAGGAGCCCGTCAGTGACCAGGGCCTCCAGCCGGCTCAGGAGGCCGGAGGCTGATGGTTAGTGCCCAACCCCAGCCCAGAAGCGGTTAGAGAGGCCAGGTGGCCGAGGCCAGAGCAGAGCTGTGCAGAGCAGCACAGGGGCTGCAGAGAGAGGCCCTACCATCTGGCTCCTCAACATAGGGCTTGGGTTTCTTTCTCAACTTGGACTTCTTCTTAGAGTTCCTGTCCAGGAGCTGCTTCATGTGCTGTGTCACTGGGGAGCAAACAGAGCCGTGAGGACCACGAACACAGAGGCCGGAGAGTGCCCATTGGTGCCCTGTGGCTGCAGGAGGCCCCTAGGTCTGCCCGGTCAGTGGGGAAGCTGTGCCCTCTCACAGTCCAACAGCAGTCGGACATCCTTAGTGCTGCCACAGAGGCGGGACAGGCTCCTACAACTGCCGCTGGGCTCGCCAACCATGAGCCTGGCTTCTGGCTGAGTGGCACCCCCCCTGTGGGAGCACACTGACCATCAGGGGGGGCAGCTCCTGCTTTGAGCATCTGCCCCCTGGTAGTCAGTGGGTGTCATAGCTACCGGTTATTCTGATGTTCGGTTGATTTGTATATTATCCTTTTATTATATAGAATTTTCCCTTTCACTGACTTCTATTTTGATCTTATTTCTTTTATTCTGTTTACTTTCAATATAATTTACTTCTTCTTCTTCTTCTTTTTTTCTTTTTTTTTTTTTTTTTTTAGAAGTTTCTTAAAATAAAAGCTAAAGTCTTTAACTTCATATCTTATTTTCCTTGTGGGCATCATTATTTATTTATTTATTTATTTATTTATTTTATTATTTTTTTTACTGTGATAAATATATTGGCATTTACTAGTAGGTGCTATAAATTTCCCTCTAAGAACTGCATTGGTTGCATCTTATATATTAAAAATGTCTTACTTTCTTTTTCTTTCAGATCAAAATGCTTTCTAATTTTCCTTTTGAAAATTAGGGTTATTTTAAACATGGGTTATTCAGTAGTACATTCTTTAGTTTCCTGATGTTGACTGGCATAAAGGTGTGAACAAGTCTGAGATGAGGCTAAACTGGGGGTGGGGAACATGTGAACTAGAGTTCAGCATGTTCTGCCTTGGTTCCCAAGGGTGGTGACCCCACAGATGTCACATACATGCTAGCAGATGAACTAAAGGCTTCCAAGTCTCAGCTAGCAGGATGGTCAGGATGAGGTGCCTCACATGGCAGCAAGCTCAGCTCTGCCCTCGCCAGCACTCCTGGGACAGGCTGCCATTCCCTTGTTCTGAGCAGAGGCTGCATCCTCCTGGGCTGATGAGGCCTGCCCTACAATCAGCCAGCACCCACGTTCTTGATGGGGGCCAACGGGAGGGAGCACAAAGCCTCTCCTCTGGGCTCCTTGTCGAGCTGGGCCTGTGGCAGACACTAGGAGTAGGTCTCAAGGTGAGAGGGCAGCCCCGCGACACACAAGTGAGACCAGATCCCACAGCCCAGACGCAGGTCTCTGCCAGTGTGCCCACAGACACCCCGTCTTCCTGAGACCATCCTGGCCTCACTCAGCCATGGTTGCGTAGGCCGATCCAATTCCCTCTCACCGCCAGCCAGGCTCTCTCACACAAACACGAGGACGCTAGTGCACAAACGTCCGTGCCCAAAGAAGTGCAGGCAGGAAGGTCCTGGAAGCCCCAACCTTTGTACATGCTCACTCACCTTTCACCTCAGCAGGCACTCCCTGGGGACCTGCAGGCTGTATGCTGAGCAGTGGACACTCTTCCAAGCTTTCAACTCAGAGGAGTGACATTGTAAGGCCTTTGGAAGACACTGAGCTGAACCAGGAGCCCACGGGACGCCCTGCTCCTGGAGAGGCCCAGGAGGACTGAGAAGAGCCAGGCCGCCTGCCAGCCTACTTGGCTACACATGCAGGAGCCGCCCGGGGAAATCGTGCTCAAGATTCCGCTCAGTGGATAGAGCATTGGCCTGTAGACTGAAGGGCTCCAAGTTCGATTCCGGTCAAGGGCATGTACATTGGTTATGGGCACATCCCCAGTGGTGGGGTGTGCAGGAGGCAGCTGATCTATGATTCTCTCTCATCGATGTTTCTAACTCTCTATCCCTCTCTCTTCCTCTCTGTAAAAAATCAATCAAATATATATTTTTTAAAAACCCTGCTTGCCTGTGTTAAAATCTCCTGGCTCCCAAGCAGCAGACATGCTGGATGGTGCCTGTTCAATCCTGTCCCCTGGGAGCAGCACTGTGTGTGCTGCGCTACAGCCCTGTCACAAGCAGAGATGCCTGGCCCCACTCCGAGGCTGGTGCACCGTCATCCTGCAGAGCAGGCTGTGGCACGACTGACTGCAGAGCGTGTCACCATGGGCCTGTGCACATGTGTGTCCAGATGCCATTTAAGGCCCTGCCCCCGTGCTTACTCTGCCTGGCCCGGGAATCAGTCCAACTGCTTGGTTGGCAGCACCTGAGCCCCAAACCCTCCCTTAAGTAGGCCAGGCCTGGGCCCAGACGAACACGACACGGGGACGTCAGGAGCCCAGCGTGGACACTGGCCCTGCACTTGACCCCGGCAGCTGTCAGCAGGCGGCTACTATGTTGGTCCCGACCCCTGACCTCTTGGGGCAGCTCAGCACCTGCTCAGTCTGCAGCATCCTGATGGTCTGCGGGTGTCTTGCCAGACCCAGGGCTGGGCCGATACACTACGGTCACCACGCTCCTCCCTGCTCCCAGGAGCCCTCCTCCAGGATCCCCGTTCTCCTCAGCACACACAGCCTGAGCCTGGCCAGGGCAGTCACCACCCCGGCCAACGGACACCTCAGAGTGACTGCAGTACGCACACATGGGCTGACTGGGGCCTTCCTGCCTGGTCAAGCAGGGCCTCTGGCCACAGCGGCCTCCGAGCAGAGTGGACACCAGCTGGCTGAGTCATGGGTACCATGAGTTCTTGTCCTTGCCCCCAACCTATCGGCCTGTGGCCAGGGACACTGTGGCTATTCTCCGGGTCTCCGTGCCGAGGAGGGGCTCCCGAGGATGCACGTGCACAAACCAGGTGTTTGCTTGGAGTGCCTGTGCCCGCCCCCTACCTGCTTCTCTGAGGCACTGCCCCACGCAGGCCAGAGAGCTCTCGGCTCGGCCCTTGGCTGGCTGGCGGCAGAGCCTGGGGTGCTATGAGCCATGTGCAGGGCCTTACCTTTGGTGTCGTTGACGGGGTCCATGTGCCGGTAGATGTAGCCCTCCAAGTAGGAGTGGAACTTGGGTGTGGGTGGGAAAAAGGCCAGGCAGATGGCCATGAGCTCCCAGCCTCGGGCCAGGCTCTCCAGGCGGAAGTTCTCCGTGGTCTGCCGGCAGAGTTGGATGTACAGCTCGTCCCGCAGGCCCTGCATGCTCCAGCCCTTGGTGGCGATCTCCAGGGCCACGTGCAGCGGGTCCGCCTTGGCACGCCGGTCGCCCATGTACATCTGGATCAGCTTGAAGATCTCGCACGCCTCCTTCTTCACGTGGCGGTCGCTGGTCACGATCATGGGCTTCTTGATGGACTCGCTGCTCCAGGCCAGCATGTTGGCGATGGACACTTTCCGCCGGAAGAGGCCCTGCGTGTGCTTGTTGAAGTGTTTAGAGGCCCAGTTCTCGATGTCGGTCTCTGAGGATGGCTTGCGCAGAGTGAATGTGGGGAACACGCAGCTGGCACTGGGCATCACACTCCGGGGCTGTCGGCCGCTCTCAAACTGGGCACAGGAGCCGAGGTCCTCGGACTGGGAGGGAGAGAGGGGCTGTGAGCGAGTGGGCCCTATGTAACCCAGCCAGGTGACAGGCATGCCCTCCCACCAGTCCCAAGGTGCTCAGTGGGGCTTTCAGTGAATCTGCTTTAGGGGAGGCAGGGCAGCAACATCTGCAGGGTGTCCTATGATGGCGCCAGGCTATGCCTCCAGCTTTGACTGCCTCAACTTCTACCAGCCTCACAAAGATGGATACCATACTCCCCGTGCAAGGCTGTGCAGACATCCAGAAAGGCCCCTCCCCACTCCTGAGACCTAGGTTTGAGGGGGCCAGCCTCTTCCTGTCTGTCTGATTGTCCATCGTCCTAAAGTGCTATGAGCTGTGGACAGGAACGAGCTCTGAGCTCTCTAGCCTGGAGGGCCACTCAGGTGGACCTGCCACGGGGATGCTGACCACCCAAGGCCACTGGGTACGGCTCCCTGGCAGGGCTGGGAGTAGACGCAGGAGCCTGACACTGCGAGGCCTTGTGAGCAGAGAGCAGTGTAGACCCTCAGTTGAGGCTTCATAAGGCAGGTCAGGAGGAGAGAACCAGAACATCAGCCAACACCACGTTCCCAACATGCAACCTGGACAGGAGGTGCATGCAGGCTCCTAGGGCTGACCTTGGCCTCTGCCTGGTGCTGCCCCAGGACACATCTGGGTGGACCTCTGCTTCAACCACAGCCACAGCCACAGCCGGAGCCGGAGCCTGAGGTCCTGGGGCTACTGGCCCAGGTGAGCTCATCAGCCCCAGGGTTGGTGTCAGGCTCCCTGGTGTGGGAGTTCAGGAAGCTCTGAGTGACCTGACACCCCACCTGCACTGCCCTCACCTGACAGCTGTTCACAGGGGGTAGAAAGAGGCTCAGACTCAGGGTGGGCATGCCTGTCCATCTCCCCTGCAACCACAGCCTGGAACCAGGGCAAGGCCTCTGGCCCCAGGTGACCTGCTAGCACCCAGCTGTGCCTCACCAGGAATGGAAGTGAGGGGGCGGCCCTGGGAGAGTCCTCAGAAGGAGGTATTTGCTACCTGTCCACCTGGCTGTCAGCACAGTGAGCCGCCCACCATGTCTTGGGGCCACCGCCTGCCCCACCCCTGCCTGCCAGCTGTCCGTACCTGTGAGGGGTGGAGGTAGGGTTCAGGGGAGGCCAGGTTGGTCTGCACAGAGACGCTTTTCTCGAGCAAGATCTGGGGGAAGGCCAGCCTCTCCAAGGCGCCCCTCTGCCAGTGCCGGCTGCTCTCCTGCTGGGCCAAGGCCTCGTCCTCGCTGAAGGCGCGCACCACAGGCCCGGGCATGGGCAGGGGCACGGCCCCGTCACTCTCGTAGCCTGAGCCATCCTGCTGGGAGTCCCAGCTCCCCCTCTGCTTCATGTGGAAGTGGGCCTGCTGAGCCTCCCAGGCCAGCCTCGCCTGCGCCAGGAAGGGCTCGGCGCCCCCCCGTGCCCCGTCTGCCTCGCCCGTCTTGGCCTCCATGTGCTTCGGGGCCAGGCTGGGCCCACACTTGGGACGCTCCTCAGCCAGGGACTGTGGGAGCAGGTCGAGGTCCCCAGGGCTATCGGTGGACGAGGCACTGGGGGCATGGCACAGAGAGGGGTTCCTGCTCTTTCTCTTGCGTGTGCCTGGAGAGTAGCCTGTGGAGGACATGGTGTCCTGCTGGCTAGACCAGGACATGGCATCGTCCTGGGCCTGGGGGAGCGGTGAGGGCGGAGGGGCATGCCGCACCTCAGGCCCCTCCATGCTGCTGTAGTCCCCAGATGTGACCCCCAGGCGCTGGTCCCGCAGCAGGCAGGGGCTGGGCTGTAGTGAGAGGGACCCCCCCCCAGGGTTGGGCGTGTACTTGTGCCGTGGGCCTGCCCGCAGCCTGGGGCTCGAGCCGGCCTGTTCCACGTACACCAGCTGTCGCACATACTCCTTGCCCGCAGGGCTGTACTCCAGGCTCAGGAAGCGCTCTGGGCACTTCTGTCGGGTGAGCACCAGCTGCTGGAAGGGGGAGGCAGAGGCATGCTTGGGCGACTGCGGGAAGGGCACGGGCTTCCGGCCCGGAGAGCGCTGGGGGGAACCACCCTGGCAGGCACCGCCGGCCTCGTATTGCACGTCCATGGGGGGTTCATCGTAGATGGGGGCCTGAAACTCGATGGGGGGCTCTTCATAAAGGGGGGGCTCGTAGGCATAGCGCGGGGAAGAGGGCTGTGAGTCGCAGGCCGGCTTGCGGGGCTGGGTCAGCAGGGGGGAGCAGCTCCCCAGCTCGGACCTCTTCAGGAAGGGCGATGGCCTCCGCTCCGGGAAGAAGACTGAGCTGTCTGTGTCCGGGGCAAAGGTCTGCAGGCTGGGTGAGTGCTGCCCACCCGAGGGTCTTCGGGAGCGGCCCCCAGGCTGGCTGTCCTGGGGGAACCCGTTGCCCTGTGGGGAGAGGAAGCTGGGCTCCCGGTCAGCAACTTTGATGAGCATGCGCTCCTTGGTGCCCGAGTTCCACCGGAGGGAGGAGGTCCTGGGGGAGGGACAGGCACAGGTTACCTGGAGGCGACACTGGGGTGCACGGGATGCTGCCAGCCTGGAACATCACCCCCCTTCCTGGTCATTTCTCTTCCTCCTCCTTATCCCCCCTCCCATGGGGGCCTGGTCCTTAGGAGAGGAGCTCTCTGTAAACTACCTGTACACTCTCTTGTCCTGGGAGCTCCTACACACACCTCCTAACCCAGCCCTGCAGGCTTCCCCTTCAGGGGGCTCTCCGGCAAGGAGCTCCCCCCAGACCCCAATAGGACTGCCTTGTGACACTCCTTGTAAGGACTCCGGCCCAGCACCTCACGGCACTGTCTGAACAGTGGGGCAGCCCTCCCAGAGGCCCGTGGAGTCAGCTGCTCGGCGTGTTCTCACAATCCTGCGTGTTTCTGTGGTGTCAGCTGTTAATCACTGCTTTAGTTCCTGATTTTACTTATTTGAGTTTCCTCTTTGTTTCCCCCCCCCCCCCCCCTTTGTTTCTTGATGAGCATGGCTAATGGTTCATCAACCTTGCTTATCTTTTCAAAGAAATACTCTTGGTTTCATTGTTGTTGTTTTTTTGTATTGGTTTTTAGACTCTGTCATTTATTTCTGCGCTAATCTTGATTATTTCCTACCTTCTACTTACCCTGGACTTTTCTTGTTATTCTCTTTCTAATTCTTTAAGTTGTAGGATTGAATAGGTTAGTGTTATTTTTTTCTTGCTTTTTGAGGTAAGCCTCTCAGGACTGCGTTTGCTGTGTCCCAGAGGTTTTGGGTTGTTGCGTGTTTGTTTTTATAGGTTTCCATGAGTTTTTTTATTTCTTTCCTGATCTTATTGGCGACCCATTCATTGTTTAATAACAGGCTAGTTAGCCTCCATGTGTTTGAAGGTTTGGGGGTATTTTTACTGTAGATGATTTCAAATTTCATTCCACTGTGATCTGAGAAGATGCTTGATATGATTTTCATCTTCTTCAACTTGCAGAGACTTGTTTTATGTTGTAACGTGTGGTCTACAGCCATGTGTCCCGGGAGGCCACAAATATTACACGCACATCCCCTTTGGGTGCAGAGACCCAGGCCTCAGCTACTGTCTGTCAGCTCCCTTAATGATAACTTTTAGTTCTGGAGTTGTCAGCCTCTTTCTTCATTCTCTCGGCCCGTATTCCTTTTAAGGTTGGCTGCCCTGCACCTTGGGAAGTTTTCCCAGCACTGCCACAGCACAGAGGCCACCCAGCCAGCCTCCCGCACCTGCGTCGCTGACGAGGACAGAGGCACAAGGAGGCTGGAAACACGCCCATGGTCACACAGCCATATGGCTGGACCCAGGATCGGCACAGATTCCCCTCCTGGGGTGTTGACGTACAAACCCTGGTACTTCTAAGCTCAACCATTGAAACTGCTGGAGCAAAGGCCCTTCAGGTCTTCAAATTCCTGCCCAGCACTGGGGTTACTCCTGGTCTGTGCTGGGGAACCCAGGCCACCCACAGGCACACACCCACCTAGACCCCCACAGCCGTGGCAGGAGACTCCTGCTGCAGCCTGGACACAAGAGCTGGCCAAGGAATGGCCCCACCCAGCATAATGGCTGCTGCACCCCAGGGGCCCAAGCATAATTTCCAGAACCTTCCAACACCCTGCAAGGTCAAACCCAGGGCCAAGAGAGGCCCAAGCCCCCTTCCCTACGATTAAAGCCAAGGTGCCCCCTTCACCTGGGAAGTGTTTGGTGTGCGGCTGGGAGCTCCCAGGAAGACTACATCCTGAGGAGCTTGTTGCTTGGCCAGAGGCCTTGTGATTCCCCAAGGTGGGCAGAGACAAGGTTCTTCTAGACCCAAAAGCTGCCACAGGAGCCTGGGGCCGCTCCGGAGGCCCCTACCCTGTGCCGGCGGCCCCGCTATGCACAGCCGCTAGGTGCTTCCTGCTGAGCTAGACACTTTTCCAGCTCACCTGAGAGCTGCCAAGAAAACCACCCTCTGGAGACAGGACCAAACCTGAGACGGTGGTCTCTACCTGTAGTGAAGAAGCTGGCCGTCTGCACTGTAATCCCGGTAAACCTCATAGTCCTTCTCAGGAAACACTCCTGGTGGGGAAGAGCTGAAACACAGCGAAATGAAACAAAGGACATGGAACATGTAGAAATAGGTTCATTTAAAGCAGCACAGTTTCCCTTTAAGAATGTGTGTTTTTGGGTGTGTCACCCTTTATGTTTCTCGGGTGTGACCCCAGTGTCCTGGCTCCTGCCCACTAAGCTGTCCCCTCCATCAGGGCAAATGAGTATTTCTTCCGTCTGAACTGACCCATGTGGCCTCCGGCCGCGCCCCCCCCCCCCCCCCCCCCCCAATGCAGGAGCACCACACCAGCAGTGCAGGTGCCAAACACACAGAATCTGCCTATGCCTCCACTCCTTCCCTTTCAGGAATGGCCATCATCTCAGAGGAGCGAGATGGACCCCACTGTGCAAGTTAGGTCTCCAGGTTTCCACTGTCCCTGGTGAAACCCAGCCAGCCCCCCACCTGCCCCGCAGCGCCCACCTGCCACTTTCCTCCTTTGCAGCCCCAAATGCCATCTGCCTGCTCCTCCCCAGCAGCTCCTGTGCCTTCTCCCCAGGGTCTGGCTCGGGGTCCAGGGAGGAGCTGGTGCTGCCCTCTCGGCTGAGGCTGCTGCCGCGCCCGGGGCTGTTGTCGGCAGAGGCGCGAGGGGACTCTGTATTCTGCTTCAGCGTCTGCAGCTTGGCCAGGGGGATGATGTCGCAGCCCTGCGGCCGGTGCCACACGGTGCGCTGTGTGGTGGCGCTATAGTAGTAGAAGCGCGACGTGTTGGGGTCGAAGAGCTCCCACCACTGGTTCTCGCTGGTGCGCTTGATGCGGACGCCCGCGGGCGGGTCCCACACGCACTCACCGGTCACCAGGTTGGCGTACATGCGCTCGCGGGTGCGCGGCTCGATGATCTCCACCCACTCCAGCCTGCGGAAGAGCCGGCATGAGTGTGTGGCCGGCAGCCCGGCCCCAGCCCCATCCCAGCCCAGCACCATGGAGCGCCCGCTCACAACGCAGCTTCAAATGCAAGACAGCCGCCCTATACCACAAGACCTTCTTGAAGCTTACCAATGTCTCCTCTTCGTAAGGACACACGAGCAGGCCATCACAGAAACCATGTCAGGTTAGAAGAATGTTGGAAAGATGGCCTTCCTCCAGCTTCCCCGTTAGTGCCCAGAGCACCGGTGAGTCAAGGGCTGGCAGGTCCACAGCCCAGGGGCCAGGCTCCCCACCTTCACATTGCAGCCCTCCTGCTGGAGTGCCTGCCGTGTGCAAGCTGCTGCCTCTCGCCACTGGGCCCACTACGTTAGCACCGGGGGCTCAGCCTGCGGCACCATCGCCGGCTGCTGGGCACACACTGTGCCCATGCCCCTCCCTCCCATGCTGGAGGCAGGCCTCCGTCCTGAGCGTCTTGTAACAGAGACCGTGTGGAGCACTGGCAGCTGCCATGTGTCAGACCCCTTTCTTCCTTGTTCTGAGAACTGTCACCAGAGTGCACTGAGCAAACTGATGGCACACAGGGAGCAGGCGCTCAGATGCTCCCAACACTCTCTACTTTGCTGTAGTCTCTGGGTGTCGACAATGTTACAGATTGCTAACTTTTGCAATTGGACAAAGTTAGAACACATTAACCTCTAAAAAACAGTGTATTTTTCTACTACAGCGTACAGTAGATGAGACTTTCCATGCTGATCTTCAAAGTTTTGGGGTGAGGTCCATGTCTGTCCTTGGGGCAGCACTACCTCCGTGTAAAGATGTGTTCTAATGTGGAACCAAACTTAATGGCAGGGAAGGACCGTCACAGTAACCAGAGTTCTGTACGCTCTTTTATAAGAAGCCATGCAGATGCCTCTACGTATGTAGTTGTGCAGAAATTGTGGAGAGGATTACCTTTAGTAGAATTTGCTACAACTTTACACCCTCACCCCTTGATGAATAAGTTTTTTAAAAAATTTTTATAACAAATTTTTAAACATACACCAACATAGATTAATATAATGAATATCCATGTATGTGGTTTTAATTTTTCCTGATTATTAAAGAAGTCAAGCATCTTTCTAATAATTCATGAGCCTTTTATATTTGTCCTTTACTAAAAACACATGTAACTTTTGCACATTGAATTTTTTTTCTTACTGATTTGCACTAATTTACTTATTTATTTTTATTTCAGAGAGGAAGGGAGAGAGAAAGAGAATCATCGATCAGCTGCCTCCTGTACTCCCTGAATTGGGGATCGAGCCCAAAACCTGGGCATGTGCCCTTAATCGGAATAAAACCTGGGATTAGTCATCAGGCTGACTCTCTATCCACTGAGCCAAACCAGCTATGGTAACAGGAGTTTTATTTAAAAAAATAAATAAATCTTTTGAGCCCGGGCAGTGTTGCTGAGGATTGAGGATCGACCTAAGAACCAGGGTTTGATTTCTCCTCAGGGCACATGCCCGGGGTTACAGGCTTGATCCCCAGTGGGGGGCATGCAGGAGGCAGTCCATCAATGATTCTCTCTGATCACTGATGTTTCTATCTCCCTTCCCCCCTCATTTCCTCTCTAAAATCAATAAAAAATCTATTTTTTTTAAAAGCTTGAGGTTTGTCTTTTCACTCTATAATACCTTGACTTTTGATGAAAAACTTGTAACATAGTTGAATTTATAAACCTTTTTCTTTTTTTTTGTTGATTTAAAAAAGCAGGCAAGGATTTATTGAAAAACTGGCCAGGACGGCTGCGGGAGCACCACACGCAGGTGGGTCCCTATAAACCTTTTTCTTCATAATTTCTCTTGTCTATTGTGTTTAAGAAATCTCTATTTCTAGATAAAAAAATATTCTAAGTTGACTTGCAAAGTTTTACATTTCATGAAATTCTTAATCTACCTGACTTTTGTTTGTGATTCGAAGCCTCCTTCTCCCCACATGGACAGCCAGGGCTCCTCGGACGGGTGTGGCAGGGCACAGTGTCGGAGGTTCACCGGCTCAGCCGCTCCTGAAGCACCAGTGTCTAAGGAGCCCTGGCTGTGCACTGGGTGCAGGATTTCCCAGACCTCACTTCCTGCTTCTTCAGCCACGTCCTGGCTATTTTTGTTCCCTGTGTTCCCTGTGAATTGTGGAATCACCTGTCAACTCTCACGGGATCTATTCCAGGAGAAAACAGAAGTCTTTGTGACGACCTAGTCTCACGCCCAACCACAACATAGCCACTCATTTAGGTCTTCCCTAAAGGGTCAGATTACTCTGTGACACCTCCCCGGCGATGCGCGCCAACCCTGGCCATGCCATCTATGGCCCGCCCTGGACGACGTGTGTGAGGGTGGAAGAGGACACAACGGTCACAAAGGATGAGTCTGGTCAGAGGACACATTCCTGTTCTTGCAACTTTTCTGTAAGTGTGCAATTATTTCCAGACAAAGTTAAAAATTAGAAAAATAAAAATGGAAGAAAAAGGAAAAAGGATGAGCTATAGCTACCTGCCTTGGGGCGGATCGATGCCTAGGGAGGGCACCGGGACTGGGCCCAGCATCAGGCCCGCAGAGCGTTGGCCCAGGCAGCCGTGTCCACTTGCGTGAGAAAAACGTCTCCCCGTCTTGTATCCGGGGAACTAAGTGGGGCGGTGCCTTGGGCCAGGCTCCCATGGAAGAGGGCAAAGCCAGAAGCGAGTGCAGATTGGCCTCGACGCCCACACTGAGCCAGTTCTCTGATGGCCCAGCCCTGCGGTGGCTTCCTCACCTGGTGCTCGGCCCCGAGGCCCGAGGCTCGGGCAGGCCAGCATGATGGCTCTCACATTCGCAGTCCTGCAGCTGGGACATCTCGGCCTCTCCCCGTGACCCCGGCAGACTGTCAGCGGATCATCGGGACGCCTCCTTCAGCACCACAAGGCAAGGTGCCACCCTGCAAGAGAGCACTGCTGTCTAAGCACATACACCCAGAAAACATGTTATTACATCTTGGGGTTTTGGAGCCATAACAGCCCAGCTGGTCCCTCACAGCCCAGAGCGCTGGCGAGGAGTGTACAGTCCTGAGCTAGTTTCTCAGGTTCCCCAGACCTACCCCCAAGCCCCAGCCGGGACCCAGCCCTGGCCAGCCCATGAGAAGGCATCCAGACCCCCTCATCAGCTGGCTCCGGGAAAGCTGCCCACCGCCTCTCAGATGTAGTGCCCTCCGGCATCAGGCATGGCGCTAAGGTGGCAACATGGGTGAAGCACACAAGGCAGCCCGACAGGGCGACGCTCCAGAATATCAGATGCCCCTGATTCATGACCAAGAGTGGACTTCTCCAAGTGTTGACTACACACAAACAGGGAAAAACAAAAAACAAAACAAGAACCTTGACCCAAAACTCGATTCCAGATAAACTGTAGGTCTAAATGTTCAGACAGCCGGGACTGGTTTGGCTCAGTGGATAGAGCATCGGCCTGCGGACTGAAAGGTCCCGGGTTCGATTCCGGGCAAGGGCATGTACCTTGGTTGCGGGCACAACCCCAGTAGGGGGTGTGCAAGAGGCAGCTGATCGATGATTCTCTCTCATCGATGTTTCTAACTCTCTATCCCTCTCTCTTCCTCTGAAAAATCAATAAAATACATTTAAAAAAATAAAAATGTTAAGACAAACAGGATTTTAGGGAAAATGTAGCCAATAACCTGTGTGGTTTTACAGTAGGTAGAGGTATCTTTATAGTTTTTCTGCCCCCACCTCCTGCCCTCCCTTTTGGGAACTCCGGTTACACAGACGTAACCTCCTGCCAGCTGTCCCACATCTCCATCATGCTCTTTATTGCTTTTGATTATTTAAAAGTACTTTTCCTCTCCTTGTTTTAGCGTTGATCAGTCTGTTTTGTCTGCAAGTCACTCATCTTTGCTTCTGCAATGCCTATTCCGCTGCCAATCCCATCCAGTGTGCTTGCATTCAGACAGTTTAGTTAAAACTCTAGAAGTCTAATTTGGATTTACTTATTTTTTAGTTAACTGTCTTTACTTTACCATGTCTGTACTTAATGTGTCCAATGTTTCCCTCAGTTTTTGAACATATGGAATGCAATTATATCTGCTTTCAGGATCTTGTCTCCTCAGCCTATCATATCAGTCAGTTTTGTGTCAGTTTTGGTTGACTTTTCACTACATTATGACGTATTTTCCTGTTTTTTTTCTCCATGCCTCGTCGTTTCTTAAAATATATTTTATTGATTTTTTACAGAGAGGAAGGGAGAGGGAGTTAGAAACATCGATGAGAGAGAAACATCGATCAGCTGCCTCCTGCACACTCCACACTGGGGATGTGCCCGCAACCAAGGTGCATGCCCCTGCCCGGAATCGAACCTGGGACCCTTAAGACTACAGGCCGATGCTCTATTCACTGAGCCAAACCGGTGAGGGCGCCTAGTCGTTTGTTTTGGATGCCAGACACTGTGAATTTTACCCTGGAAGCTGTGTACTTTTGTGTCCCTTTGGTCTACCTGCTCTAGTTTCTGTTGCTTTTCCAACGCAGCATATTCTTCCGAGCAGCCCATCCTCCGAGGACCAATTCGTTTCTGGCCGCATCCCCCAGTTACCTGCTGCTGCGAACTGGGCTCTCAGGTTTGTAATGTTTTTGTTTTTTCTTTCTTAGCTCTCTCACATTCTCTCCTTTGGTTAATTTTGTCTTTTCTTAGAGCTCTTCTCTCTTTATGCATTTTGAATGTTTTTAGTGCAGAGACAGTTCTATAAAAAATGTCCTTCTGTCTCCTGGGCTAATCCTCTTCTAAATGTCTTCTCGCCAGCCGTTCCACTGCCACTTTCCTTCCCTTTCTCTTGTGTCTACCTCACGTCCCTTGCTGCCCGTGATTACTGCTCATCCCTAAGGTCACAGGACAGGCAGTCAGGACCCCCCAACAAGAGTCAGGACAGCCAAAACTGGTGTGACTCAGTGGATAGAGCGTCAGCCTGCGGACTGAATGGTCCCAGGTTCGATTCCGGTCAAGGGCATGTACCTTGGTTGCGAGCACATCCCCAGTAGGGGGTGTGCAAGAGGCAGCTGATGGATAATTCTCTCTCATCAATGTTTCCAACTCTATACCTCTCCTTTCCTCTCTGTAAAAAATCAATAAAATATATTAAAAAAAAAAAAAAAAAAAAAAGTCAGGACAGACTGAAATCAGTGTGTTGTTCCAGAATGCTCTATTGCCAAGTTTTCTTACAGGCTCTGCTCTGAAAATAAGATTCTGGTATATTAAGGCACTTTTTGGTTGCAAGAGACAGAAACCCATCTCAAATGGAAGACACCATGCCCTGCACCTCCCCTGGGTGAGCCCCAACAGCAGGACTCTCAGGAAGGCCTGCAGCTGCCTCCTGCTCTGCCAGGCTGGCTGCCCTGGCAGGCCAGCTCTCCGTCTGCCACACAGCAGCACCCATTTCCCTCAGGTGCCAGCAAGCGAGGTGTGAGGGTTTCTAACGAACCATCAGGTGCTGCCAGGTGGGCGGGGGGCGAGGGGGGGGGGCGCGACTCCCCAGCAATAGCTCCTTCAGGGTGACCTTTGCCCTGCCCCCGCACTCCAGCTGGGACCCAACCCTTGCTAGTCTGCTAGTAAGTGCATGGGAGCCACAGCCCAGGCCACGGAGGCTCTCGTCTTGGCCATCGATCGGCAGCTCCACAGCTAGTTGGGGTTTCCCATCTTCTCCCCATTTCCCGAGTGGGGCCCTATAGAAATGCAGGCAGAGCACCCACGTTCCTCTGGCAGGGCCCCGCCCCCAGGCACCATGCCCCGTTCTTCACGCCCACCAGGCCACAAGCCCCTTCTGTCAAGTCCATGTCCCACTGGTGCCCCTAAAAGTCCTCTTTGTTCAACGCAAACTCAGCCCCCTCAAGGCTCAGGCTTTCACTCCTCCCAGTTGGCTGACATCCTCCTCTGACTTAAATCTTGTTCCCTATTTTTCCATCTTGTTGTTCATTTCGGTGAATAAACAACTGTTGACTCAGCCATGGCTTCCAGAAGGCCTGAGTGCCACTCTCACTGCTGTTTTCCCAAGTTCCCCGTGTGAACAATGGGCGCTCTCAGACCCATGTCTGCAGGCTGGGCTCTGAGCAGCAGGCACAATGCCCCATTCTGCCAGGCAGGGCGGCTGGCATCTCCGGTCCCCTGCTCTGCAGGATGACCGCCCTGACCGCTACAGCTGTGGCCCAGCACACCATCAAGTCATGGAATCAGCTCGCAGGTTAACATCAGCTTCCAACCCTTCCGGGCCACCCCACAGAGGAAGGATGCGTGTGTGGAACCACATCATTGGGCGGAAAGTGAATCTGACGGTGGCGTTGTCTCTGAAGCACTCGGAGACAGTGCTTCTGAAGCACTCGGTGCCACCACAGGGACGGAGCTTGGCTGCTGCCTGGTGCTCAGTGACAGGACAGGCAGTCAGGACCCCCCCAACCCCTGGGCCGTGGCCAAGCCCCCACTATCCCTGCCTTTCTGGATTTCCCTTGACAACTAAACGACACCAGGGGTCCCGGTGGGACCAAGAACAAAATATGCTAGTGGTCGGAACAGAGAAGCTGGCCACCAGCAGGGACAGCCACGCCTCCAGCTGCACGGCTCTGCCCACGGGGCTCGGAGACACGACAGCCGCCGTGGTAGGCTCTGTGACAGAGGCGGCAGCCTTTGCAGCTACAGGGCTGTCTGTGCCCACACGACCCCCTTCCAGTGCCTTGAGGGTCAGAGGTCTCCATGCTGCTAAGCCCGCCCCCTCCCCCCCTCTCCCCACATGGCAAGCCAGGGCTTCAGCAGGGGCGCTGGGGCCGCGTGGTGACCTCAGACCCAGGACAGAGCACCTGGTCCCAGAGAAGGAGAGCCGGCCGCACCTTGCGGCAGATGATGCTGTTCTTATACTGAAGCCCACTGTGATGGTGTAACATCTGACAGTAGGATGAGGACGCTGCTTAGGACGCATTCCCAGCGCCTCAACTTCTGCTCAGGGAATCAACAAACACTAATGGAATCACTGCTGATCTCTTAACAGAAGTCTCCTTTCGAAAGAAACAACGGTTAAGAGAGGAAGTGGGACACAGGCCACAGGACACCCAGCAGGCTGGCCCTGCCCCAGGCCACAGCTGCTAAAAGGAGAAAATGGGGCTGGGGGAGTGTCTCAAGGAAAAGAAGAAAAGTCTTCAACAGCGAAACTGACGACACAGAGAAGGCAGTGCTAGGCAGCCTGGCCCACCTTCCGCCCAGGACTCCGGCCTCTGCACCTGATGTGAGCAGAACTTGTGCTTTGTGGCAGTGGGAGCGGAACCTTTGCTGTGCCCATCTCTTCCCCATCCCGGCCACATTCAGTGTGCTTGCTTCCTGTAGTCTTATGTATGCTTTTGTCCTGCACTTTTTTTTTTTAAATATATTTTATTGATTTTTTACAGAGAGGAAGGGAGAGAGCTAGAGAGCTAGAAACGTCGATGAGAGAGAAACATCAACCAGCTGCCTTCTGCACACTCCCTACCAGGGATGTGCCCGCAACCAACATACATGCCCTTGACCAGAATTGAACCCGAGACCCTTCAGTCCACAGACCGATGCTTTACTGCTGAGCCAAACCAGTTTCGGCCTGCACTTACTTTTAAAATTGTATTTTCAATAAAAGTTTTTGTTTTTTAAAATATTTATTTTATTACTTTTTGTGTGTGTTTATCTTCAAGGGAGGATATTTTTCCATTGAATTTTTAGAGAGAGAAAAAGAGAGAGAAACATCAATGTGAGAGAAACACATTGATTGGTTGCCTCCTGCAAGCAACCTGACCAGGGCACAGTCGGGGAGGAACCTGCAACCAAAGTACATGCCCTTGACCAGAATTGAATCCGGGACCCTTTGGTCCACAGGCCGACACTATATCTACTGAGCCACACCAGCTAGGGCAATAAAATAGTTTTTAA